ACTTAATAAATTTTTTAATATTACAAATTTAATAAATTAAACATCATTACACATGTAAATAATTCTGGTATCGGGTATTCAAGATAATAGCATAATTTGATTTGCTAAAAATCTACAATGTCGGAATAAGTATCCGAGTCGGTAATGTCCGGAAATCACATGATCTGACACCTTTTTTGCCGAGAAGTCTACGGACAGTGCTTAGGGACAATGCATGATCACGTGGCCTTCAAAAATCCGCGCTCACGTGATCGCGATAAATTGACGTTAGAGCTAAGGATAAGTTATATGTAAAATTGCTTTTCCGACATTTTATTTTCTTGTGTCAAAGACCACGTGATTCAGCACTGTCTGTCCGTAGACTTCCATGGCTAGGGTATCTTAGGGTAATCATCTGACGTTACAAATTTTCGTGACACTACAATACTTAGCGTATGACCCGGAAAAATGTGGGAGGGGAACAAACTTGTCAGTTGTTGCTGTTGTAACGCAAATATTTGTTGATTTCTGATCTCCCACATTTCACTTTTATCGTCACTTGCACAGTAAAAAAAGAAAAATCTTTTTCTTTTACAATAATAGTATAATAAATAACAGTAACAATAAAAACGAAAATTTTACGATTTGAATACTTCTCTCTGGAATCAAAAAAAAACAAAAAAGTCTTGAGTTTCTACACATACGTTCTATCAACTATTCTTGCACAGCCCACACAGACTCACTCAACTGTTGATCAAAAAATCTTAATATATACTATACTCTAGTATCCCAAAAAATAAAAATATCAGAATCTGTCATTGATTACTCTCAATCTACCTACTGTTGTGTCTTAAACTTTGAAAATTCGAGGTGGTCTACTATTAATCTAGACGCAGACATCTAGACACTTGTGCTTTTTTATCAAACTTTTGCCATCGCTTTTTAATCTAGCTCTACAACAACAAAAAATAATATCAACGGGGACGACAAACATTTGCATAGCTTGTGGTTAATTTTAGTTCTCCAGGTAAGACAATCCATTCATATTGTATTCTTTGATGTTGGGGTTGAACGATGTGTATCTTTTGATGAAAATTATTAAATTAATCCACCTACGATTGTTTATTCGTTCTTTTAGTGGTCATTTATTGCATAAGTTTTCATTTCAATTAAAAGTCTTGCCAAAAAGAGGAATGGAATCGGTTTGGTCGAAACGCATGTAATTAATTAGACCAGCCAATTGTTGTTAGATGAGTTAGGACGAGTTCAATTTAATTATAAAATTTCGTTAGTTGGAGCATAATTTAGCATACATAGATATGAGTTATTTCAGATTACACGAATTACATTTTCCATTATTAATTTTTTCAATTAATATCGAGTAGCAATCGTTTAACCGTGAATACCGACCATACAATTGCGACCACAACCACAACTACAAATGCAACGAATGTGACAACTCCAACCTCGACTGCTACTTCAGCCAAACTGATTCAACTTAAACGTACAAGTTCTCCAAATCCGAACATTTCCACCTCAACCGTCATATTGACACCAACGACACCGCTTGTGGGAACCGGATTGGTTGGAGGAGGTGGTAGTTACTTTGGTAAGCATCGTGGGAGTATCGGTGGTGGAAGCGTGGTCGGGATAGCCATTGATGATAAGCAAACTAATAAGGAAAAGGAAAATGGAAGTGGCGGCGTTGTGGTCAATGCTACTGTAGCCAACGGATTGGTGGTAGGATTGACACGTCAACAGTTCACGCCAAGTCCTACGAGCGATATTCATCCACTGCATTTCACATGGGTATTTTGGTTTATGCATCGTACACCTGGTAGTAAAATATTGAATTATGAAAGTTCAATGAAGAAGATTGCGGCCTTTTCTTCGGTGGGTTGAGAAATGCATTTCCGGGTACGGACAATTATATTCATTTCTTAATCGTCTAAAGTAAAATTAATCAATTGGAATTTTTTTCTTCTTTTTTCCCTCTTAACTCCATTTTATATATATCTATATTTAAATAACACACACACGTGTGGGAACATAGATTGAAGATTTCTGGAAGGTTTATAGTCATCTTCGGAGACCTCATGAATTGCCAAATATCAGTGATTACCATCTATTCAAGCAAGGTGTGAGGCCTGTGTGGGAGGTATGCTTATCTATTACGTTGACTAAAATATCAATGCATGTCATTATTTTTTTAGCTTATTGTTATTGTTATTGTTGGTATTTCGATAATAGGATGAAACTAATATCAACGGAGGGAAATGGATTGTGCGTTTAAGAAAAGGATTGGCTAGTAGATATTGGGAAAGTTTGGTATGTTTTATTTATTGTTATGGGCATTTATTACAATCAATATAATTTATTACAATCATTATAATCGTAGTGATTAAATTGATTTATAATTGTCCGCTTATTATTGCGTGACTATCAAAGAAAAACCTTTAATTAATGAAAATCACGTCTCACTCGTTTACTTATTATTTATGTTCATCTATACCAGGTAATGGCTGTTATCGGTGACCAATTTGATGTTGGTACGGAAATTTGTGGTGCGGTCTTGTCCATCCGCAGCTCGGAGGACATTTTGTCCCTGTGGAATCAATCCGCCAACGAAGGACGAATCAACTTAAAAATAAGGTAATAAAAATTGTTCACTATTCCTGGAAAATAATGAAGAAATACACGTTTTTCACATTTTTCGTATTGTTAGGGATACAATGAAACGGGTCTTAAATCTACCACCTGACACAATCATGGAATATAAAACGCACAATGACGCATTAAAAGATAATTCTAGCTTTAGAAATACTGATGTATTTCGATGAACTTTAATTATTGATGATATGATGGTCATTGTAATTGTAATTGTAATTGTTGTCGTTGTCGTTACTATAAAAAAATTCTGATCAGACACTTTTACTACATACATATTTTTACTTTACACATTATATACAGAGAAAGGAAGATATCTTTCTTTTGAATAATAATAATAACAATAATGATAATGATAATAATAATAATAATAATAATGATGATGATAATAATAATAATAATAATAATAATATTGATATAAATGATGATAATCGAGATAATCAATAATAACTCAATTAGGGTGTTACAACACTTTGCTGAACATCTAATAATTATGTCAAACCTGACTCATAAAGTGGAGATTTTTGATTTACGTAATATGCAAGTGTCCCAACAGCAATTCAATACCCATAGTTTCTGTACTCATTTCAAAGCTAATAATAATAATAATAATAATAATAACCTAGAGAATTTTTTAAAAAATATATATTAATCCCATTTTTGGGAAAATTGAGAAATCTGCGCGGATTTTTAATTAGTGAAATTTGACATCAAATATTTTTCTTCTAAGGCAAATCCTGGAAAAAGCTGATTAACAAATGTTCAAATTTTCAGCCAAATCGGAGCGTTGGCCATTGAGATACAAGCTTCCGTTGAAATTTCAGTTGTTAAATTTTTTTCGCACCTGAAGTCTATGCCAAGTTTTGTCGATCTCGACACAGCGAAAATTTTTGATCAGCCCGGCAAAACAAAAAATGAAAAAAAGCAAGAAATGATGAAGAAGATCTAAATTTAATAAAAAATGTCGGAAGGCAATTTTACCTACAATTATAATCTTTAACCCCGACCCTAACGACAAAACTTGGCACAGACTTCTGATATTTGGTACACCTTTGACTAGTGCTGCTGCAAGCTTTTTACGGCTGAGACCAGGCAGATCATGCAAAATATGTATCAGACCAATTGTTGTTGAGCATATTCTAGTTTTTTGCATATTTTGGGGGAGTAAGGGCCGTGACATATATTACGTAATATAGGTTTACTATAGTAACAAAGTGAAGACCAAGATAAAGAACAGATCATGTGATTCCGATCCCGATGCCGACCATCCGATCTCCCCCTTAAATTACAATGCATATATATAATAATATTAAATAGAATTTCGGTTAGGATTAGGTTTAGGTTTAGAATTAAGGTTATTGTATAATAAACGGGATTATAATATATAGTAAAATTTCGCAAGGAACATTTTTTATTAAAGCACAAAAGATAGTTTCATAGGCAAAATTTTAAGATACAAGCTATTTTTCAAAATAAGCATTTGTTTGAATTTTTGCGTTTGATCTTGCGATTTGATTGGTGCATAATTTTAAGGGGGCGATCGGATGGTCGGCATCGGAATCGGAATCACATGATCTGCTCTTTTTCTTGGTCTCGCTTTGGTACTCGATTTACCCCCTCCTCCAGGTAAGATATTCAAAGCATGTGACTCTATAATGTGTTAGTGAAGTGACAAATATTAGCTAATATTCTGGGGGAGGGGGATGACCAAATCTCAGATATTAATATAAATCTCAGGGGAGGGATCCCTATAACAAAATGGATATTAGCAAATATTTGTCATTCCCCTTACTGTTACGAATATGCCATTATTGGATGTGCTGTGCACCCTCGGATCCGATCTGTCCGGTATATTCCGACAAGCCCCTTAAAATTGATTGGCCAATAAAATCGCAAGATTAGTGTGTAATGAAAAAATTTCAAAACAAACAAAAACAAACGCTTTTTTTACTATTTTTTAAATTCAGGTTGGAATCGAGGGGATGCACAGCTGTGCAAGGGCATTTACTGCATTTACTAATTTCTCCCAAAGTTTTGATTGGGATTAAGGGTTAGGTTTAGAACTGGAGGAAAAGATTTTATGTATATAAAATTGTCTTCCCGACATTTTTTATTAGTGCTTCAAGCCAGGTTTACCCATTCGTTTCCGTATTTTTCACATTATTCGCCTTTTAATTTTCTTGTGTCGGATTTGTTTGCCGAGTTGAACAAAAATCTATTGGTCATTTTGTAGGTTTAACATTAGGTTATCGTTATTGAATCATAACTAAATAAACTCACGCTGCAGCTATTAGGGGAATTGTTTTATATAAAGTCTTTCTTCTTTCTGTCTGTTTAAAATTATTTTATAAAGAATGCCCAACGACTTTAATACTCCACAACAGCCACAGCAAAAACAAAAAGTATGGGCAACCTTAATAACAAAAGAAAATGACTATATTATCAGCGCAAAAGTTCTCGCGTTTTCACTTCTTTGCACCGCATCAAAATATCCATTAGTAATAATGCATACGAAAACGGTGTCTAAACAATCACTCGATGAACTTCTTCAGTTTGAGTGCCAATTACGACAAGTGGAATTTTTGGAGCCGCCAAAAGGTGTGGCTCGGGAAATTGTTAAGGGATACAACGAGACTTGGACAAAATTGCGTGCGTGGGGATTGACGGAATTTGAGCGGGTTGCATTGTTGGACGCTGACATGCTGGTGATGCATAATATGGATGAGCTGTTGGACGATGATGAGTTGTTAAAAGACGAAAATTGGTTGGCTGCTTCGAATGCTTGCACCTGTAACCCTGGAAAAAATCCGGAATATCCGAAAACTTGGTAAATATCTCGACAGTCAATGATTAAGATTTTTTTCTAGTTGAATAATCGTGGTAATTTATAGGGTGCCTGAATCATGCGTATACACTCCTCAAATAGAATCTGACAGCAACTTTGCAACTATCAAATTTGTCGATTACTTCAACTCTGGAATGTTAGTTCTAAAACCCAACGATGACGTATTTGCTCGTATACTTAAAGAACTATACAATCATCCTAATCCGGACGTATTAATATTTCCTGATCAAGATTTTTTAAATGAAGCCTTCAAATCACATTGGGTTCGACTTCCATACATTTATAATGCATTGAAAACGCTGCGAAACTGTCATTCGAACATCTGGAACGACGATCAAGTGAAAAATATTCATTATATTCTTGATAAACCGTGGCGGATTACCGATCGTGATTCCGCCGAGGCAAAATCCAATCAGGCGTATGTGTTAAATTTGTGGTGGTTCAAATATTTTGATGAGATGAAGAAATTTGAAGAGTCTCGTTCACGTCAACAGTAGATATGAAAGTTTATTTTTTTATTGATGTTCTTGAATCGTATACATGTATCTTTTTTCCTATATAATCTTGAGAATATTTTTCAAATATAAATTTATACAAAATATTACATAATTTGAGTGTTAGAAACAATTTATCGTATTTTTTAAATAAAAGTCTGTTTCTTTTTCTGAGCCCGTAGTTAAAGTGCAGGTTGTAACAAACAATACAACCATATACAAGATATATCGAAATTTCAATCAATAGACAAATCATTGTGACATTTTTGATTATGTCCCTTATTGCAAATATTTCTGAAGCATGCAATAATGTACTTAAAATACAATCTATCGATTTTACTTAATATTGGAAAACTACATTATTTGATAAATATTAATCAAATTTCAATAAAAAGGATCTAAATTGGCTTAATAAATTGATACCAAGTTAAATTTACTAGTTCAAGAAGAATGAAATTAAAGAAATATTAAAGAAAATTTCTTTTAATGATTAGAAAATTAAATTGTTACAAAACAAGATATATCAAAAACTCAGAGAATTAGCATACCATGCTCTTGAAGCGTATTGTCAAAGAATCGAACTCTCCAGGAGATAATTATATCGATATAGTTATTTCTTACAGTTCTCATTTAATTCTAATTGATATATTATGAGCTATTTCTTATATATTATTCTTAATAGCTGGAATTCCGACGGGGAAATGGATTTCGAGTTCAGAAAAAGTAGTTCAAAATGAATCTCCAGCAATTCTAATAAATTGAATGGTTTAAAATGTATTTTATGCGTGATGAAAATGGTTTAATCAATAATGCAAGAAAATACCGAATACGTATGTACGTATATCCTTTATTTGTTAGACATGGCATCGGTGGATGTAAGTTTGAAACTAGTAATTTGTTAGTACATGTATAACTTGTTCATTACATACCGATACAGTATGTGCAGTTTATGCAGCAATAGCATCAAACATGGATATGCGTAGACAGAAGTTGCTCACCAAGACCTGGAAATTAAAAGTTACCAACTACGCTGAAAAATATTGTAGTTAACATTAATGAAAATGTTTTTTAAGTGTTGTCATGCGAAGATGATAAAATGACCCCTGAAAACGGAGTCAAAGTTCAAGCGCAAATTTAGGTCCATATTTGGAGTACATAGGAGTTGCTAATTTTACAAATTTGAATAAATAAAATATTTTGCAACATTCTCTTATCTGAACATAATGTTTTGTTGTTGTATATATCGACATATAATAGAATAAGAATAAATTGTCGTATAAAAATACCCTCATTTAAAATACCAAGGAAAAGGCCGGTCATAAAAATATACATTTCAAAGGCTATTTACAAAAATTATGTGTATTACTTCAGGCAATTTTATTGTGAAAAAATTCTCGCCGAATATCCTAGATCTAGTTCGAGTATACCATCGTAATATACTTTTAAATTAACTTTCTGCAAAGTACGAGATTTGCTTTAAGCCATTTATTTGTTTTATAAATTTAAATCTATACATTCTTTGAATTATTAGTATTTATAAAAATAAAATATTGTAATTTGATGTGAAAATATCAGTTGATGTACGTACATGTATTTGCAAATTTTTGTTACAAAAATATTCAATATAACTCGTTAAATCTGATTAATGTAGTGATTTATAATATGTAGTGAAAAAATATGTCCGTCTGTATTAAGTATAAAAATTTTATATTTAAGAAAAAATTTCTAATACATAATCCAATATATCCAATACTTAAACTGTAAAGGATTTGTATCCAAACACTTAAATCACAAGAAAAATACATTTTGTAGTTCTCATCAAAGATTATTTAGAACATATTATTATAATAGTAATATAAAAACTGTTAATTCCAAAAATAGTTAAAAAACATAAAATATTCACATAATAGCAAAAATCTCTCAAATTATTTTACTTTTTTACCTTTATTTTATCTTTTTTCTTGTCTTTTATTTTATTTTTTACTTTTATTATATCTTTTCAATTAGTAATTTTATCTCTTAGATAATTATTATTATTTGAAATTGTATTTTTGAAAAATATATAAATAGAGATGCTGTCTGAGTTTTAACTCAACATGTTGTAACTAAAAATAAAAATTTCTCTTAACAAAAATCTTCTTCCAAATATCTTTCATCTCTTATATTTTCTTTATATATTTAAATCTTGTATATAAGTGATCTTATATCATATTGTATCTAACAAATTACTAATGATTTTATATTATATTGTGCTGAGCAAATCATTATTATTAACTTTGAATTTTAGATTGTATTGTACTGAACAAATTGCTATTACTGAATTATTAAGCTTTATATCATATTATACTAAACAAATTACTATATTAAAATTATTAAAATGAATTTTAAGTATTTTAATTTTTGTTATTTGAATTAATAAATATTCTTTACTCATAAAAAAACAAAGTAAAAGAGTCTTTGTTATTGTTAATTACTAATTATATTATTTTAGCTCTGGAAAGCTTTATGCAAATACAAAAAATTAGTCTTTTAAATCCTTTTTACTATTTTTTTATACTCTCTTTCCACTTTAATCTATAATTCTTTCATATTATTATCTCTTTTTAAATAAATATGATTTTTGTAGAAATTGATATAGATCTTAGATACTCTTTTTTTTATTAATTTATTATTCTCTTTTAATTCAGATTCAAATTTGTAAGCTAATTTAATGATTAATAAACAAATTTATAACAGTATTTTTTTTGTAATTAAAGTATTTAAATACAAATTTTTTATAATTTAAAGTATTAAATATATTGGATATCTTTAGACTATATTAAATTTAATAAATTAAAACTGATTATATAATTATTATAGAACTTTTAAAACTTATAGCTAAGGTTGCTTGCTAAAATCTCTTAGTAACTGTTAAAATTCTGTCAAAATTATAATAAATTATTAGTAAATAATCTGTCAAAATTCTGACAAATTTTGAAATCTGTTATAACTGAAATTATATCAAAATTCTAATTAATAATTAATATGTAATCCATTGAAATTATGATGATATTTTTCTGAAAGAATTTAGGCAAGCATCCTTATTTATAGCTAATAAAAAAGATAATTTCTTTGAATAAATTATATTTTAATATAATTCAAATTTTAATATAAACTATATTAATATACTGATATTTTATATTTTTAATTATATTAATTAGAATTTTTATATATAAATTATATTATAATTATTTTTTTATTATTAATTTATAATACTTGAATATCTTTGTGAAAAAAATAGAATTCTTTTTCCAGAAATTTTTTGCATCTTTTCAAAATTTAGAAAATATTTTGAAAAATTTAATTTAAAAAAATCTAATAAAAATCTTAATATTAATTTTTAACTGGTTATTATCAGAATTAAATATTTTAAAATATTAATTCTGATAAAGCTAATTGAAAATTAGTATTAAAATTTTCTCAAAAAAGAGTTTAGTTATTTTAGTTTTGTCAAATTAAATATAAAAATAATTTGTAATATTATTTTATTATAATTTTTATCAATTTATATTAGATTAAATATAAAAGATAATCTAAATTATCTAAAATACTAATAAATAAATTTTTATCAAGAATTTATTAAATTAAATATAAAAAATAATTGGAATATCTAAAATACTAATAAATAAATTAATTTTTAAAAATTTAATTATATTAATTTATTAGAATTTGCTTAATTAATTATATAATATTTATTTTTTAATATTGTTAAAACTCTGATCTTTTTTTAATTATACTAATATTTATAATTTTCTTATTACAAATATAACTTTCTAATTAAAGTAAGAAATTATAAATAAATAATAATTAATAATAATAAAAATTAACTTAGCAAAGATTAACTTATTATTAAATAAATTTAAATAATATTAATTAAATTTTTGATTTTTTTCTGAAAGAATCCGAATAATTTCTTGATCTTTTTCTGAGTTATTATTCCAGAAATTTTTCCTGGAAATTTTTTTATGATAAATAATAATACTTATAATATAATCAAATCTTTCTATAATTATCATCTCTAAAGAAATAAAATTGAATGACTATAGAGAGGTGTGACTATAAGTGTATAATATTTATATTAATTATGAAATTAAATTAACTATTTAATTATAAAATAATTAATTAGTTTTATAAAGATATAAATATACTTTTGCTATAACTAAACTATTGAAATTCGCATTTACTAATTCTCCAAGTTTTGATTGGACGCAAGTAATTTCCATCGCTGATTGGCTGCACACCGGGTCTTCTAGATTAGCCAATAAAAATGCATAAATTTTTTATCAGACAAATTCGACACAAGAAAATTAAAAATGAAATATACAGAAAACTAATACTTAAATCTGCCTTCAAGCACCAATAAAAAATGTCGGGGAAGCAATTTTACATATAACCTTGATCTCCACTCTAATCCTAACCCTAACCCTAACGCTAAAATTAACCTTTAATATCCTCAACCAATCAGAACTGGGGGGAATTAGTAAATTCTTGAAATTCTATATAAATATAATTCACTCCTTTAAATGCATATTCTTGGAACCAATGCTAAGTATATGCATTTAGAGAAAATATGCAATAAGACCAAGTCAAAAAGAATGCATTTAAAGGAGTTATTCATTTATAGGGTATGCATTTAGAGGAGTGTGATTGTACTATTTTAAGAAAATGCAATTATATAATATAATGAAATTAATTATCAATATTGTTTGATTGTAATTATTTTTATTGAAATTGTATTGATAGATTGCTTTAAATTTGAGCGATCAATAAGCGAAATTATCTGTTGCAAATCAAAAATATGAGCTTGACGTTAAACTCGAAATGAAATTGATGTAATATCGATATCCTAAAATGTAAAGTGATTTTTAGAATAAATCTATCTAATTCAAGTTTCTATTATTCATTTCTGAATTTTTCTCTTCTAAAGGAACAAACTTGACCCATAATAAAATTACAGGCTGTTTGTTAGTAATACTCTTACGTATACTAAAGATATCACCATTAGATTCATCACGACTATACGAATCTAATGGTGATATCTTTGCTCGAATGGGATCACTGGATGTCGAGATATCGGGCTTCAATATATTGTAGGTGTGTGCATACTGTCTGGAATAAAAATTTCAGGGTTTAAATTCCAGAACAAATAATAGCATGCTTTATATCAAACGAAACATAGCGATAGGGAAATTTTTCGTAATAATTTGACCAATTACGTATCTGATTAAGAAAAAGTGACCTTTGTTGGTTTTAAAGAGAAGCTTAAAATTGTTTTTTGTACATGAATTTGAATGTTCTGAGCTAATAAAAGATTGAAATTGGTCTTGGAAAAGTAGCTTCGAATCTTCAGGAATAGGGTTATGTTGCATTTACGCCATAATTAATAATGACTCCACAGTTAATTGAGATGCCATCTTTAAAGTCCATCAGCAGAAAAAACAACAGCTTGTGCCTTTTTTATCGGGGCTCACATCTTCGATTGGTCTTTTATTAGAAAAAGATTAATGGTGTAAATTAAAGTGCCAAAAAATGGATGTGTGAACGGATGAAAGTAGATGTCAGAGTCAATACGGAAGAATGACGAAAAAAAAGTACAAGTTGGTCAACGTCGCAAATAGTATACCAAATGTTCTCTCAATATAGGTAGCTACTATAAACCTCTTTAGTCATAACGATAAGTTGCTTTTCGTACCATTCTTTAATTCCGATCGTTGTTAACGCAGTTTATTCATTGTAAATTTCACGACATGTCGATATCGATATAGATTAAGAACAATCATAGTAACAACAATAAAAATAACGATACTAGTAAAGTTGATGAATTTATTATCAGATTTATGTTCTATTTCGACCAGTGAACTATTAATAATAAATACACGATTAGTATTTAATTATTATAAATTCGTTTTATTTATTTACAAATTAATAAACAGAATTAAAAATAAATTACAAATAATATCGACATTTATAAATCACAAAAAAGTCCTAAAAATCAACAATTAAAATAAATATTCCTCATTGAACCGAACCCCTACTATTCCTAAAAGGACCTCCCAACAGCACTACTACTAGCTTCCGGAAACGAAGACCCTCCAATTATCGTATCTGTATCCTCATCATCAGTCGACTGACGAGAAGCGGTAACAATGGCATGTGGAGGCAGCTGCTGGTCACTTGGATTATTAGACAAAAATTGTTGTAGGATTGCTGGATTTTCTAATTCATCTTCTTGAGATGACGCTGGAATACCTCCAATTTCGTCATCGGCTTCATTGGCGGGTGGTTCTTTGCTGTCTAAATGAAGTGTAAGCATACAAAGATGGTTTGCAGCGAGGAAACATCTGCCAAATACATTATGTGCTACTATTATTATTGACGTTACTAGTGTCATTAGTGGGATTATGCTGTATTTGACGCTGTTGGTTTGATATAAAACCTATAAATATTTATGGAGTAAAAATTAAATTTTTTCTTCGAGACATTTTTTGGAATCAAAAAGTGTTTACCTGAAATACCAACTGCGGAATATCCTCAATAATTAAACTCAAACTTGACATCCAAAAAATAACAGCACGAGTTCGATCAGAAACCGGTGCCTTGAAAATTTTCGCATCAAACAGATTTGACCACAGTAGTCGCACGATTTCGACATCCACCGTTCCAAAAAGTGCCAAAAGAATGGCGATATCTGTGTTGTTTCGAAACCATTTGCTGAATAGTTGACTTTCGGTTGTCTCTCTGACTAGAATTATAGTAGTTCCTACGAAATTTATGCCTGCCGATATTATTAGGACTAGTAGACTATATGGATGGAGACGGGTGTGGGTGATTACGCATAAATGTGTGGAGTATTTATTTTTTCTTCTTACCTCGGTAAGAATAACCATGACACATCTTTTCCGTGCTTTACCAAAAATGTAACATCCAATGCGAAATCGAGTAATATAAGAGCGACGAAAAATATCAACATATTTGCTGCCTGAAACATAGAGAATTTAGATAAAGCGATTAAAAAATTTCAAATACTGAATATAAAATAATTACCTCAGAATTTACACGATACGCAAAAATAAAAAGAACAAGCAATAAAACGATTCCAATAATCGCAAATAGACCGAATGGCTCCCATAAACTTTCTAAGAAATATAAACAAACATATAAAATTTGTCTCAACTCAATCGACGAGCATAATCTAAACGAAGCTCACCATTCTCCACAAACCCATACTCATCATCCAAATACTTTGTCAACGGATACTCCGAAATCGGCGACACGTTCTTATACTTAATCAACGTATTTAAATCATTACTAATATCGATATTGGTGTTGCGTAAGGTTTGCGTACCCTCATTAGTAATCTTGATCGAAAATAATGTTCTTTTTCCACCATTACTTTTTGGATCGTATTGGCATTTGCTGGAAATTGAAAGTCGAGAAGGGTCGACTGGAATGCTTTTTGCGAGTTGTAATTTTAGATCGGAAAAGAATTTTTCCTTGTCTTTTTTCGAGTTTCGTGAATCTAAGTATTGGCTGCCGTCTGTTGTTAGACGGAGGAGGCCGGATATTGGTTCTATATAATAAATTGATAAGTTTGGTGAAAACTTTATGCATTATAAAATTTTTAATTTACCATCCTGTTTTCTGACTTTATCTTGTGGTGGCACTAACGCTAATGCCAAATAAAAATACAACCATTTTAGTATTTATCGTTATCGAAATTCAAATAACAAAATAAATAAGTGAAAGAATTTACCATTAAAATCCTTCCGAATACCAAGCAACGGCTCGCCAGTTTTCACCAATTTCACAAAATTCGATTGCATCACTAGATAATAGTTTTCCGAGGGCCGATTAAATGTACTTGTTAACACTTTAAGGTACATTGTTTTCCCATCTTCATCGAGAGCAATGAACGAAGAAGATTCCCCCGACTGAATTGAAACTTTTTGGCGTAATATATCATTATTATTATAGTCCGTGTCAGTGGTCCCGGAGCTGTTCTTTTGATATATAGTAATGGTTCCTGTGGAAAGTTCGATTGATTTGTTGAATGTTATCGAGATGTTATTCCTTGTGTCTACGTTCATAGAAACGATGAAAGGATTTTCGTATGTATTTTCTTTATTTTAAAATGAGGAATTTTATAGATAAGTGAGCGAAACTTGACCAAAAATAGCTTTCTCATTAAAATCCTTACTCGAATTAGGCAAGTCAAACTGTGTCGATAAAATTGACCAAGTACCATTAACAGATTGGGTCATTTGCCAAACAGTGTCATTTGGGAAAATACCGTATATTGGTGTAAACTGCTCACTGATTTGCTCAGGGAAATCCCACAACGAAAAGAAATCTCCGTCTTTGGTGTACACAGATTCAGAAATGCTGGATTTCTCACCTTTCGAGGATTTTTTTATCGTTCTTTTCAAATAACCACCTCTTGGCAACGCATCAACAGAATAATATTCACTACTAGTATTATTTTCACTACTAATATTATTATTTCCGTTTATTATGTCATTCAACTTCGACACGGAGCTCACTGAACCACTGGAGAAAAATGAAATTTTGATCCAATATTTTTCAATATTTGTCACGTTTCCAACCTTTGTTCTTGTTTGTGTTGACAGAATACACGAATACCCTGTGTCTTCTAATTCGTTGTTGCATTCGTTCAAACTTAGGGAAAGTAACGGGATGACTGATTGGTATATGAGAAAATTTTCTGAGACTTCTTCTTTCGTGTTAATGAACGAAACGTAGACACGATATTTGACGTCTGTTGGATCTGATGTCGTGTTTTTGTTTGAATCTACGTTTGTCATTATGGATTAATATCGATTCGTATTTTAATTTTCAGTGTTCGATTCTGAAAAGTTACCTTTTATTATGTAAATCATGCCATAACCACCATCGACCAAAGGAAACAAAGTCTCGGGAGCAATCACAAATGTTGCAATATTCAATGGAAGTAGCTCTGGAACTGGATTATCATCTCTATCATAATATTCAATTATTCAATATTTTTATCGAAATATTCAAATTAAAAAAGTGACAGATAAGAAATACATACGAAGGCAACGACAATGTAAGCTTAATCAGTGTCAAATCCATAACATAAAAGAACTTTTTTTGATCCGTGCCCGTAATTCTGTTTGTGTATAGTGTTCCAGTAGTATATTTGCCGTTTATCAATTTCGATTGACCTAACTCTAACGGTTGATTTCTATATGACAAATATATTTATTATTCTTAAATGGTTATCAAAAAATAAAAATACGGATTGAAAGATAACTCACGAAAAAATTGTTCCATTCAAATCTACGAGTATTCCATACAAGTAAACTGGCTTCGTTTTATTCGTATTGCTCGTATTTGTAGTGGTAATAGTATCATTCTTCTCCGCTAAATACGTAATAAACACAAGATTGTCAATTAACGCCTCGACATTTACATAATCCGTATGTTTCTCCATCGGCATCTCATTACAGAAAATCAACAATGGGAAAGGAAACGTGACATTAGCGGATTGAGTCTCCCCGTTCAGTCGCACGACAAAAAGGTTGACAGTGGGCTTGTTGCATGTTTGGTTCAACTGTGTGAGCTGAAATAGTATCCTTCCATCGGCATATTGACTTTTATGGTTGATTGATAGGTTTTCGATTGGTGTGTGAAATGTGAATGCAGTGGGAGTTAATGCATCGACTGATTGTATTGCTATTGCTGTTGTTATGGATATCAATGTAAGAAAAAAAAAAGTATGCGAGAAGAGTGTTCGTCTTACTATTGTAGTTAAAAGTTCGAATGGGGATGTTATAACGTCGTCGTTTGTAGTTGATTTTGTTGGTGATATTTTCGATTTAAATCGTGATTTTATTTTATCCTTTTTAATATTTAAACTCATTCGAGTTATGCGAATTAAACTATTTAAGGAATCCATAGTATGTATTTAGAAATGATAACAGCAGAGATATGATATCGATATATTATTTCAGATTTTAGTTTTTCTTTAAGTCAACAAAATGTGAGAATGATAGTGATAAATACGTATATAAATAACATAACTACATTTTCACTTCAAGATTTCGTGGCAGAATAATAATAATAATAATAATAATAATACTTTACATCACATTACATGGAATAAACATTAGTAGCTTGAAATAGAGAAATATAAATATCGTTCGTTGTTTAAAATAAACCATACGTAAAAACAATGATAAGAATAATAGAATCAACTTCAAATAAACAAACAAACACAATGGAAAGAATCTTTTCTTCCCTGTCTCATTATTATCGTTATGGATTTTCGGTACATTATTCTATTGTCTGTTAATCCGTAGATCATCAACAAAAACATGATATTCTCGACAATTAATTACCACCCTACATGTTTGGCTTGGTTTTATCGTTATTTACACTGCTTTCTTTGCCTCACTAGATCTGGTAATGATTTTCCATAAAAAACGCGCACAGCCTTTTTGACGTCTGCGTTCGTTCTTCGGGATATGCATATACGTATTGGTATGTTGAACATTTGCGTGTACTCACGTACAAAACACGTACCAACATTCGCTAGCGTGTGTTTAATTTATTTATGATAAGTATAGTCGCCTTGCTCTAAAGGGAAATGTAAAAACGATGTGGCAAAGTTTCTTGTTGCTTAGCATCAGATGAATAAGCAGTAAGCCTCTTTGCGTTTTATTTGAGCTCATTCTTATTTCAGAGAGTGATCAAAGTTATTTGGATATATTGTACTTGTTCTTAACATACATATTTATCAGGCAAAATGGAATATCAACGTTCATTTTCAAGAGAATAAAATTATCTAATAAAACATAAAGTCAATGTTCAAGCAACGAAAAAAATTTCGTGTTTATTCTCGTATATACAAATCTAGTAAATATAAATCCAATCTTCAGCAGATTCAATAATTTTATTTTAGTAAGGAATAAATGCAAGCTTATTTCATAACCTCTGTGCTAGTTAAGAATATAATATATATATTGGTCTTAGATTGCCCAAATTTTACGTGAATGTTACCAACAAAATGATATTGATTAGGAATTAAAATCAATCAGTACATGTAACAGATAGAAATAATAATAATAGAATAGAATAGAATAGTAAGATAAAAATGGATTATTAGTTTTTTTGATGACTTGAATTAAAGCCACGAAGAAAAAGATTAAGCTACTATTTAACTAGTCGTATCTGGGAAATAATTATATCTTTCAAGAGATTTGATCATCTTGTGATCAACATTGATAATTAACGATCGATCTATCCTCTACTTCTTATGTTAAAACAAAATTTTGAGAAAGTTTGTGTTTCTGTGTTTGTGTAATGCATTTATGTCCCTCGCAAACTACTACTAATTGTCTTGAGCGAGCGAGATCCTATGCTAAACTCCAATGGTGATGTTGATGTTGAAGATGATGATTCTGATTGAATATTACACAAATAATGAGGGGGATGAAGAAGATAGATAGATAGAAAGGTCTTTTTATCCTCTAATGAAAATTGCTTTTTCAAGTCCGCCCATTCGCGTTGATCTACCACTCCTATCAACATGATCCAGTCCTAGAAGGTCATCGGAATTCCATGAAAGCTCAGATAAGGTCTCTAATTAAGCAAGATGAACGAGATTGGGGGTGCGTGATTGATTGTTAATCGGCACATTTCTTATAATCGAAAAAGTGATACTATCTACTTACCCTCCTCTAGTATCGGCCGCGGTTTTGAATATGATGTTGGTGGTACAATTGCAAATTTAATCTTTGCAAAGTCTTTTTCGTTCATACCAAGACGTGCTTGAAGGCGATTCTTGGTCTCCGAAAATGGCTCACCCTGGTGGTACAGTAGATATCATCGTCACATTTGATTAATAATTTTTTTCAACTTTTTCAAAGCAAAGATCAAATTGTTTTACCGCTTTGATTAAAAATTTAAATGGGATCCCATGAGTACGTAAAGGTTCTTTGGTAAAGTGATAAACTTGTACGATCCGATCTTCAGGTCCACATTGTATCTCTTCATCGGGTATTTCCTATGAAATACGGGAAATAAACAAAACATTAATGATCTCGAATCCAAATTCACCAGCAAAAATTTATGTGATACATACTTCAGCATATAATGATACAAAATCCTGTATATTTGCTATTGGGTCGCTTTCGACTAATTCTTTAGAAATTTTGTTATTCACTACTTCACATAATCGTATTTTCTTATTCTCCTCCGATAATTTAACCTTCAGCAATAGTTCTTCTATTACTTCACTGATATGCGCATTTTTCGGAAGACGAATATCAATGGTATTCTGAAGATTGGATAATTTAATTATTTAAATTCTATCTTATATCAATTGAATGCAAGATCAACAATATAATAATAACATACCTCTTCCTTTATGGTGGTTCCAAGCCAAATAACCTTCAAGAATTTCTTCGTCTCAAGCTCCACTATACTAATATCTAACATTTCATAAAATAGCAGATTGGTCGGAGGACCTAAATAGCCGGGTTGTAACATATCTGATAATGATTGACTTGTAGTTCGTTTCACAATTGTCTTTGGACCGCTATTACTATTGCCTGAAGTTGCTGTTGTAAATCGAAGCTTCAGTGGATCGGTCTCTAAATGCTCTGCAACCTTGGCAGCAACCTATTTGATAAATCAAATGAATTAAATGATCGAATAAAGACATATTTAAACACAATAAGAAAAGTAAAAATAATACCTCGTCATAATTCCATTTTTTGTTCAAAACTAACTCAAATTCGGGTTTTAATTCTCGATCCCTAAATTTTGGTTTGAACTGAACAACAATTCTACATGTTAAATATTCGTAGAATTGAGGAATGGTGGCGATTCGATTTTCAGCTTGGTGATCTTGTATTCTTTTAAAAAAAAAGGTAGATATTTTTCTATAAGCATTCCATAAAGTATGAATCATCAAGACGCAAATAATACATAACAATAACAGTAAATTGAATTGAAAACAAAAAGTCATTACTCTTTTTCGGTTAATGCTTTTGTAAAGCAAATTATATCACCATCCTGAATTTCAGATTGTTGAAAAGTTGCTTTTGTCTTCATTTCTTCAATCATTGTCGGTTTGATTTCCTAACATGATTGGATTCTAGTTAATCTTTGATTGAATTAACTTGGACTTGACATAAGACACGAGGGAAAACTTACTTCATATAATTTTAAAGGAGTATTTAGTGGGAACCCTTTTTTTTCACATAGAGTTTGAAGAATGTCGCCAACTTTACCAAATTTTTGGATGTAAAGATGTCCGAGACCTCTACAGTTGATGGATGAATAAATCATGATTATTTATTTGGGAAAGCTCAATTAAAAATGATTGATTTTGAATTCTAATCGTGTTAACAAAACTTACTCCAAAGTCTGATTATCGGGATCGAAATACTTCAGGAACACCATTGTAAAAGCATTGCCTTCCGATGGGAAATACTATAGAAAATAATCAATTTGTTTCTGTTTCACCTATCTGGCATCTTGAATTGAAAGCAAAAAATATTCTTGCATATAATTACTTTTCCATTTGTGGGTTTTTCCGCTATTTCTAGATACAGTTTTAAGTCATTTTGCCTTGAAGCCATCTTTGCAAAAATTTCTTCCATCGCTAATGAAGAATAAATATGATAGAATAGGTCAGTCAGTCAGTCACTTGTTTATATTGTTATATTTAATCTATCAAACTTACATAAGCTATACATATTTTCATTTATTGGGGCATCAGGTCGTACTGTTTTATTCTGACGATTCACCAGAACCCATAGTCGAGTAGCTTCGACCGGCACATTATGTTGCTCGGCAATCTTTTCTCTAAATGTCCCATAAGATTCAGCTTTTAAGACTTTCATCGTAGGGATATCAGAAAATGGGTATTGACGCTCCTCAAAGTTGGCGAGATCAAATCCTTGATGTGTTCTGAAGGCTTCATCTGATATAATCTTGTATTAAAAGATCGCAAACAAATTTGTTTTATTCAATACTTCTTGGTCATTAACACAAACGATTTGCCGTGTATATTTTTTCTAGGAAATTACCTTGACATTCAGGTATAAATGCATCTCTTCTCGCTCCTTTTTCTTCTGTTCAGCAGCAGCTTTTTCATCGTCGAGACGTTTTTCTATAGAGTTCACGAAAAAAGTTAGAACCTCGAGAATCACTTTTCAAAGCTCAAAACGACAAGGTGAGGAACCTACGCAAATGTGGGGGTATATCTTCGGGACGAACGGGGGCGAGGATTTCGTCGATATCAAATTCACGAATGTATACCAGCATATATGCATTAGTGAAGCGTTTAAGGTTGCGGACAGCTGGTCGAATGGGATGTGGATTGGAATTGTTGATCTCGCCTCCATAATTGTCTTCCAAGACCTCTCTGTCTGTTACAGGGGTCACACGGTCGTCATCAAACTTAAGCCTGCGTTCAAAGAAACGGACTCTTAATATTATTGTTGAAAATTATTTTAAATTCATTGCTCAAGTAAACGCAGACCATTTTCCATCTTTTTCCGGTTTTATCAGAGCGAAGTAATGACCTCCATGAAAATCACCGCTATGGACTAACACGCTAGAACCAAAAACAATTAAATTTTTAATATGTGTCATTGTCATGAAAATATCCATGAAAAACAGTTTTTTTTTAAAATGCAAACCCATGTAATAGATATTTTTGTGGTTTGGTTCTATCTGCTTCTGGAGATAAATATTCCTCAAGATCGATTTCCATGGGAAATTCATAACGATCATTAATCTATGCGGAAAATATAAAAAATGTTCAATATCGAATATAATCTCTGGTATTCTTGTGTAACGCACAAATACCTTAACGCTAGCGCTTCTTTGTATGTCATAGTCGAATCTTTTCAGATGCAAATGCAATACAGGAGGAAAACTTTCGAATATTACTCCTTTTTTAGCATCCTAATAAGATTGTTTTTATTGTATAACAATTCAAAACATTATATGCCGTAAATATTAAAACGTTTAAAGAATTTGAAAGGATCATATAATAGTTGCTTACTTGTAGACCAAAACCTTCGGCCATGTATCGATTTTCCCCCTCTAATGTTTCCTCTTGAATAATATATTTAAAAGAGTCCCTTAGAGTTTTAAAGCCTTTCACATCCAATGAAAGATCTATATATAAAAATAATGAGGGAAAATTCAGACATCAAATAAATATATAATCAGTAAAATACAAACCGTAATAATCTTCAACGCGCGACGATTCAAATTCTACATTGACACATTTAATATAACTCTTCGTTTTTCCAAGAAATAGTTTAGTTATAGCACCATCGACTTCGGTATTCTGTAAAGAATTAATTTGTGAATGGGGTTGGAATGTTTCTCAAATTTCCACAAGCGAAAAAAATTTACCTTCATTTTTCCCTCGAGATTCTCTTGCAGTTTCCTATTCAATTCTTGAACATCGTGCTGCATAAACGACTCCAATGAATCCCAGCCAAATGACTTTGTGAGTTCTGTGGTACCGACGGGTGTATCTGATGTTTGTAATTGGTAGAAGACTCGCTGAAGCGCTAGGGAGACACTCTTTATGGGTTCATCATTTACGGTAGGGATTTGATAAACGGCCTATCGAAAGTCACGAATTAAAATAAAAATAAAAATTGATTTCTTACATTATTTGAATCATGTAATATCTTAATTGACAAATAAAAAATGCGCGCCTTATACCTTCCGAAAATAATTGGTACAATACAGAGATTGCAACAGGGAGTTCATGTAGCAGGTGGCGCCTTGATTCTTGAGGCCTACATAGCCAGTCTCCTTCTTTGAATCATAACTGTATGCAGAGGTTAACAACAACGCCAGAAATAGTGAAGGTATTGCCCAAAGCAGACAGTTTGGATTTAAGGAGCGAATGAATGAAAGAAACGAGTTCAAATACTTGATAAAATTATGCCATAGGACGCCAGTCGGGTCTTTCAATACTCGTACAAAAGCCGTAATATTCGTTGAATCATTTTCAATCAGCGGACGCGCGCGATTGTCGGTTGAAACAAATAATTTTCTCATCTCGTAAAACCGTGTAAATCCCCAATCCGATTCGTCCGCCGTAAATCTGTGATTAGCAGCTTCATGAAAATTGAAGACACACACAAAAACAGTAAGCGCAACATCATGTCATCGTAAGATTAACTATGAAAATTAAGAGAAGTACTTACTATGTTCTACATACTCTGCTGGGTCATTCCATAAAACCAAACCAAATTGAACACACGAATGCCAACCTTGCGGCGCACCTTTGGGATCAGCAAAATCAAGATATATCGATACTGTATCATTAGTGTTATTCCCAGCTGGAAAAAGCAAGATACGCCTATTGAAGAATCATCATATAAAATTTCTTTAGCCTGTCTTGAAAATCAAAAAAATCTTGTATGATAATTATCAATAATAATTAACCATTTCCAGCCACCAGCTTCAAATTCGGGTCCTGTAATTCTCCTATCCAAAGACTTCCAACTAGCGATATGCCATGTGTTATGTTGAAAATCTGCTACTTCGTATCCCAGATCGGGAAGGATCTTACTAGCAAAGGCCTCATCTAAAATTCAGAATATTAGATTTTTTAACGTCAAATCCTTAGCTATCACGTAGGACCGTAAGGGGAGCTAACTTGACACAAGACTGAATCTAATTCCGCAGCAGCCACCCCAAAAACACCCTTAAAGGTGGTGGTTGAATTCGCGAATTACAAAAAACAAAGAAAATTAACTTACAGTCTGTTACAAGGGTCGGGGTTTCTTCTACATCGGACATTGACCTGTCCAGTTCAACGGGCGTCGATTCAACAGACACATCCATTTGATCTTCCATTTCATTAAAGGCAGTGAGTGTGTTCTCGAAGGTTAAAATATGGTAGAAAATGAAGAATCTTTTTGATTTTCGAGATCACAAGCTAAAAAGGTTACAATATACGTCATCCGATTTGGTGGCTTATCGAATTCTAGTTACGTAAGTATGAGCTACCTGATTTCTTAGCGAGTATTTTTTTGATGTTATTATCGAAGAATAGTTTATGTTATATTCTTATATCAGGCATAGACAAAAATGTTTAATAAAATCATATCCAGTATTACTGCCATCAAGTTTAGAGATAATTAAAAAGGTTACGATAGGGTATGGTCTGATGTAACCGAAAACTTCACAATTACCGGAGGCCGACTCCTAGTCAGAAAAGACGTAGAAAATGCTGTAAGTGATGTGAATGAACTAGCAAAAGTATCATTTGCGTATAATATTGGTAAACAGTTTAAAATTCAACTTTATTAGTCACGCTGGTGGAAAAGTGGTTCAAGGATTGGTTAATTGTCGAAGGATGGAAACATGACTTTTTAAAAAGGAATGATATTTAGCATAAAGAAATCATTTAATCTAATTGTTCTCTACCTTGTTCTACTACTACTTCAATAAAATATACCGGTTTCGTTAGGCAAATTAAAAGAAAATAAATAAATAAAATTCCTCTTTAAAATACTTTTTTAGGATGGCAACAACAGTTCACATAAATAATGACCAATTCTCAAAAATACGACCGAACAGACTAATTGAATGAAATAATCTCAGATACGTAAAATACTTACAAAATATATTGAGGGAAGAAAGGAAGACCACCAACACCACCAGAAATATTATTATATTAGAGCATCATCTTAATCTTTTTTTGCATTGAATGGCTTGCGTTGACTGTATATACGCGCTGAAAAACAAAGACGAATGAATATACATGACAATTCGATTTATCGTACCTCCCATTTTGTCGACGTCATTGAACAATTAATAATTAATTTCCACCCTAAAAAATATTAGGCGTGTTTCGAATGAAAAATTAAGAGATGCTAATTACCAGCCTGAGTATACTCACGCGCATCGTCAATATCCATCCATCCGTCCGTCTCTTAATATCTCCTTCGATTTGGAGACCGAGAACGTCTCCGGCCTCCACTGGTGTATCCTCCACGTCTATCTGGAGATCGCGATCGTGATCGACGGTCATATGAACCACGGCGATCACTTTTTTAATGAAATTAAGAAATATTAGAAATGAATCCCATGAAGAAAAAATCAATGATGATCAAAAAAGAATATCTCACTAATCGTGTCTTCCTCGATCTCCTCTTCTGTCACGTTCATGTCCACGATCTCTGTCTCGGTCTCTCTCTCTTTCCCTTTCCCTCTCCCTATCTCGATCTCTTTCCCTCTCTCGATCACGGTCATTGCTATATGAAGACCGCGAATCTTCTCTAGTGTCAGTTCGCGGCTTATTTTTCTCTCGAAGTTCTTTCAGTAAATCGCGTATTTTCAAGTAACCAATATGCATCTAATGAAAACGGACACTTATAATAAGACCAAGCTATAGTCCCACCACTTGAAAATTAATAAGCAAGATATAAACTCTAATAATTTTTACTTTGCCTCCAAAGTGATCAGCTAAGCTGGAATTAGATGATAAAAATTAGCCTAATCTCATAATACACCTGAATAGCAGCACTAAGTTGTAATAAAAATTACCGTCGATCAGAGTCGAAAATAGACAAATAAGCACTGCAGATTTCACAGACGCGCAATTTTTGTTGCTGAGAAGGTCCTCCTCCTTCTACCGAATTCTTGAGTTCTTTCTAGTGAGTGAGCGTTTATAGTAATTAAACTTTAAACGAATAAATATTAAATCTTAAAAATATGAACAAACCTCTTTCTCAAGTTTAAGAGCTTTCTTTGCTTCCACATCTTGTAATATTTTCAGTGACTCGGTAACTTTTCCTTCCTCACCTATTCACATAAGACGAGCAGTTTAATTCATAAAGTGTATCCCAAATAATTAAAAATAATTAAAATCATACCAAGGACTTCGACTTCTTTGGTCAATTCCGCGATATCATTATCCAAATCAGATATCTCTTGTGCCTAAAAATAATTCATTAAAATGATGAATAGCTCTGTTACACTTTTTTTATGAGCAATATTCGTATTGTACCAATTTTGTGGTTTTCGCACTGTCCTCCGGAGTCTTGTCTAGACGTCTTTGTGCACTAGAAATTTTTCGATCACAATCCTGCACAAAATTCGCAAGATTACGCTCAAATTCTGCCTCAAAATTGTATTCTTTTCGTGATCTAGCTTCCTCATATTCATTCTTTAAACGCTCAGAATGTACTTTGGGACACGCACCAAGATCCATTTTCTGTGCAATAGGAAATAAGATTATCGCAATCATCAATGAAATTTTATGCTTTTTCAATTCGTATATAAACTCACTGTATTACTGTTAACGATGAAATCAAATAAACAGACAGTTTGGTTAATTAAACAACATTCATCAGTATAATAAATTTGCAAAACTCTGAAGCTTACGTAAATAAGTCATGCGGACAAAGTCCACATAGATAATTTCTACAGACTTCATTTTCCCAAAACTTTAGATTATCTGCTGCACCACTAGCATATTCTGACCCCATAAGCGCCTGTTTATAGAGAGAAGAGAGTCATTAAGGCAAAACAGAAAATTAACATTATTGTGAAGATGAAAAGCGTGCAAAGCCGAACCTCTAATGCTTTTCTCGCTTCTGCAGCCATGTTAAGCACAGCTTTAGCCTAATTTAGTTTGACTTGACGAATTCGATAAATTACTTTTACTTTGATAATTTGAACAGTTTAGTTTTTTTTTATTTATTTATTGTTTGGGCAAATTAACTCACGTGAGAAATATGATAAGCTTAGTTTCGGAAACCAATCGCTAATTGAATAGGCAAAATATAAGAAAATCGAATATCCCACAATTTGTAACAATCACATCCGAATAGTCGAACAGTATAAATGTTCTATTATGACGTTAAATGAAACCCTAACGACTGTACTTTTCAGGATCTATGAATAGTAAGTCACCCGTCTGCGTTTTCCAAACCAGACACACTGCTTAAGCTGGATGATGATTGGAAGTGCCCCATCTGTAAAGAGAAGTGCGCATGCGGTTTAAACTTGTTTAAGTCGTGTGCGATTGATGATCTTCCCTACACTTTTTCCAAGGTGTATGGTGAGGATGGCGGCACATTCTGACAGCTCAACCAATCAGAATAAGTTAAACCGTAAATTTAATTACTTTGTTCGAATCCGTTCGTAAATTTGATTGGTCAATTTGCGATCAAAAATGTATGTTCATCCATGAATTTCATTGGATGGATATTTTTTTATTAATGATAATAACTACTCTGTTAACCAGACCACTTAGTTTTCTACAAGTTTACCTTTGTCGTCTGTCAAAGCAGGCTATAGTACTAGAAATAAATCATTTCTTGATCACTTTCAGTGTCAAATTCAGAAACTTTTTTTTGTATTAGTCCGATGTTTTATTCGACCAAACTCTGAGTTAGACATATAACAATTGCATTGTAAAAATTACTTTTTTAAATGTAAGAATCCTCTATCAATCAAGCTTTGATCAAATTCTATTTTCGTTGACAAGATGATCAACCACACTGGTTACCAGAATTGTAGAAATGATTTTGATTTTATTAGTGTGATCAACATCACGCATGTTGGATAATCAGCAACTTGCAACTCGCAGATCACGTGTTTCTAAAAATAGCTCCTCTTAAAATATCATGTTATAATTCATTGGAATCTGTTAATAAATATTATTATTTTTATCAATATTCCTCATCTTCATACTTTTTCGGGTCAACACCATGAAAAGGGTGATTAACAAAATTAAACCATGGAAGCCAAGCTATTCCAACCAACATAAACATCATCATCAAGAAATAATAAAGTTAATACGAGAAACGATAGAATAACAAAAGTTGATTAAAGGAATACAGATCCCACTTACAAAATTTCAAAGCAGCATATCGAGACTGCCTGGCCGCAGACGCTTGATTAAATAGATCCAAATCGGATTCGCCATATAGCGATTTGCCTTCCCTCAGACGCTGCCTCATTTCTTTCATATCAATATCGTATTCTCGTTCGTTTTCTGTCCAGCCCCAAAATCTCACTGGTTATTTATTAATTTAACAACACAATAAAAATCGATCAATGAGAAAATCGTTTTGAAAAAAATGTATATTAGGGTTAAAAGAGTAGTAACACTTACTGCTACTTCGTTGGTACGCGAACAAAAAACCACCCATTGCACCAAGTAAAGTCGCGACTTTAAGCGGGACACCTAAACGCTGATATGTAGGCGACACTTTCTCTAATCATGCACATAATTTACTTTTTCAAAATTCCAAGTTTTGGAACTACATGGGAAAGCTCCAAACTAAATAATATCGATATAGAACTAACCAAAGGCTAACATGAAGGCAGGACCCCCTACTGTACACGCGGTCCACATAGCATAGTCCGAAGGTCGAAAATAACGCACCACACGTAGAAAATGCGGGTCTGTGTCAATAACTGGATAGGCGGTGTTGATTTTCACTTCTGGCATTTTGATAGACAGGTAGACGATGGCGATAGACGTTTATTTATTTATATTTATCGGATTTCAATCTTGGTGTTGCAAATAGCAGGTTTACCGGTACAAGTAAAAAGCTTTAACCCTGAAGTGATAGCATTTTTCAAAAAAATAATCGAGGACAAGAAGAAAAGACTATGCTTCCAGAAAAGAATGAAAGGAACAAGTTCAAACAATGTTCAATATACAAATTCCTTGTTATCCTCAAATTTCGATCGACAGAAAATCTGACCAATGTCAAAGAGTAAAAGAATGATGATTCATTATCTTGAAGAAAGGTGATGGCAATGGGTCTAAGCCTGAATGATAGGTCTGTTAATACGTAATTAGCAATTCGCAGCAGCGATCTACAACGAATCTTATCAAAAATTTCAAAACAAAAGGAATCAAGGAATCCAAAAATGGTAGTTCTTAAATGGTCGACAATAATGTATTAATTGCCTTTTTGTTCGTTAGGGTATATTTTCTTTTTTTTACGTTGTTTGATAAGTAAATAAATCAACGTAGCCCATTTAATAAATACGGATTCAATCAATCCCAAAAAAACCTAAAATTGTAGCGCCTTTTCATCAAAAATGTTAGGGTGTAAAACGGAATGTGATGCAAGGCCAGAACGTAAAACAAGATTTGATGTCAAGCCAGAATCAAGGTCGAGTCTGCCATCAACATCAATAGCAACACAAAAAACAATTGAACTATAGTCACAAATACATAACTCGTATCGTTCAATATTATTAATTCTGTTAAGTCATACACAACCAAATAAACCACCATAAAGCTTGAGACGATCATGATTAAGTTTGCTTATGCCTGAATTGATTCATTGACGTTCTGTTTGATGATTATGCTATATTATTTAATTATTGCTTGCTTGCTTGTATGTTGTTTGTCAATATAAATTTAATTTATAAGTCGAGCAATATTTAATATTCCATTATATTATAAATTCTCGCGAGTCCTTAAATTAATCGATAGTGTCTTTATCAACTATCTTAGCGATTACTCGATTCTCTTTTTCTCTGCGGTACTTTCGACATTGAAGTAGCAAACAATCAATGCTACTAAATTGCCGACGATATGTCCCAAAAATGCACCAATTACGCATGGAATGGGCCACACCTGCATTATCACATGAAAGTGGAGATAATAAATGGGTAAGTGTGATCGAATAACTCTCATGTCGGGAAACTATCATTTCTCATTTACCTGCCAAGGACGATCCCAATCCAACGGTATCACAATAGCACCCAACCAAGCACCCACCACTGTAGCCACCGTAGGGTAATAAATTGACTTTTCTGGTATTGTCACTGGACTTTAGTAGTTAAATATTATTGATTTAGCTCATTGGAATTCTCAATCAAGATTTCATCATATTTAATTAATATATACTTATTATCCGAAAATATCCTTGCCCATGCTGGACCATTATCTCTCAATGCGCATGCAGATGGGAATATCGCTAGTAATGATACATAAATTGCAAATAGCCACGTGTTTTCTACTTTGCTATTTGCAAAAAAGATAAATAAATAAGTGAATAACTGAATTTGATGACATAATTATACGATTGAATTTACTTGAGCAAAGGAGCGCCAAAAAGCACGGCAATTATGTGAAAAAAGAAGGCCCCGAATAATGTGATCCCTACCGCAATAACGAAATACTAAAAATTAATCGAGCATTCGATTAATTAAAAGTATGATCATCCATGAATATGCAGGAAATAACAAGCAAACAATATCACACTCACCCACTGCCGTTTCTTGATCATATACCGAATTTTGGCCATAGAAGTTTTTGATATTTTCGTATCGACATCATCACTATCGATTTTGCGTCCACCATCCAACAACACAGTCCATCGAGCAGCCTCAATCAATAATTGTACCCCGGCCAGTATTATCACCGTCGATTTCAAAGATTTCACCGGATCATCCAGTAATTTATAGGATGGAAAGTGCAGAAGTGCGAGTGTTGATAGAATTATTTGTGATAATGTTAACATAAGATGCGGGATAAATTTGAATGAAAATAGTGTTGAGGATTGTGATGGCGTTAATGATGAACTATTGGAGGTGGATGTTTGTGCATGTTTTCGAGTACGCGAACTCATCGCTTTGACAAAGCAAGTGTTCTTTAATTGTTTGATTATTGCTGAATTAATATCTAATTTTGATCAATATCAATCTCATTAAACAATTCATCGTAGAAATCCAATATCATTGTATTAGACTCGGAGGAAAAAACTCACCCTTAGTTTCTTCAATAGTTTGTATTTAGAATTAAAGTTTCTAAGCCTCGAGTCTCACTTTATATATGTCTTGCTTGGCTTGGAATATTCTAGAATATGCTATGCTCAGGAGAAATGCACAAACATAGATACTATGCTAGACAATTATGATAAGTCCGATTTAATAGCAATGATATTTTTTATTATATCTTGATAACCATAAATAAAATAAAATGATTTCGAAAATGTACAAAATGTAAAAAATATAATTAAATAAAAAACGTGTATTTTCGTAATATATATATATATATGTATGTATGTATTAACGACATTATTGTTCCCTAAATTGATGATTAGATTAATAACGATTAATATCTCTAATTGTAATATGATTTCGCTAGATTTTCTTCATTTTCTTTTCTATCAATATTGCTATTGTTGTTGGACGATATATAGGGATTAATTTGTGGCTGTTCTACAACAGCAATTGGGCCATCTTCTATAGAAGTTAAAGGAACTTGATAATGATGATGATAGGTCAAGGCTCCACCATGTGGTCAACCGAGATGCGGTTGCAATTGATAATCGGCCATTGCCTATAATAAATAAACGGTGTTAATTGCAAAAGGAAGCAGAGTTGATGATGAACCATAATAAATAAACATACAACTGGATTAACAATTTGATTCATTTCGTGTTCTTGAGAAGTATCGAGATGAGCGACTTGAATCACAAATGTTTTTTCGAGTTTATATACAGTGTCGCCGTGATAATAGTTGGCAATAGCTGTTACTTCACAGCTTTGGGAATCGAGACCTGGAGTACCGGTAAGAACATTATTTTCCCAATTAAGCCAATCTGGCAAAACAGGTGAATGAAACACAGCCTTTATTGCTATTAAGCACAAAAGGATGAAGATGAGTGAATCGATAAAAAATTCAAAAAGAATTAACTTGGGATTATGCTTACATTTAACATTCACTTGAGGATCCCAAACTCGTGGTGCATAATTATATCTTAGGCCAATATATGCAATTTTGTCTGGAATACCGGCAATCTTTCTTGTGAATTCACGAAATATCCATCCACCGGTGGGGATTTTCTTAGCTTCGATGTTCCAGACGTGATTTCCCTTGCTCTTTGCTTTCTTTCCGTCTTCATTGAATCGGGAAATATATCTGTATTTAGTGAAATATTGAAATCAATGAGATAAAGTTTTTAGATTCAAAAGAAGTAATCAAACAAGCAAAATCATAACCTTTGAGTCCACAAGTAATTTTTCACTTTACGCAGAGGTAACATTTCCTCGTTAAATCCGGATCTCATTAATTCTTCATAAAATGCGTTGGTAAAAGCTTGAATACGAAACTTGAATGGTCGAAAATCAGGCGATTCATCTAATTTCTGCATTTTCTTTGCCATCAATGTTTGATGTCTAGTAACAAAAAATTTATGAGGTTATGAAAGAGTTATATTATTTCAAAATGTATAATTTATATACTTACATCTGTTCTCCTTTTGAATCCATAGCATTCACTAAATAATTTCAATGGTTAATGAAAAATCTTGGTATTTTGAAACAAAAATTTCTGAATCAGATTTCTGTGAATTATACATATAGAACTTACAATCCGAGCAAATGTTTTGTAAGAAATTAAGAAAAATAGCATCAAGACGCCGGATGAGTTCCGGATCTAAAGGAGCATGAGTATGAGTACGAGGGGTCGACGGAATTACAACAGGATTCGGAGTTGTAATGGTAGATTGAGATGCACGACTCAAATCATTGGTAGTATACTGAATTTACATCGAAAATCGTGTCAATAAGAAACAAGTTCCAGTAATAACAAAAAATTTTTTCCAAGACATACATTAACCGGATACATTTCACTAGTAATAGTCGGTGTATCATCAACTGTTGTTTTTATCTGCTTCCTCGGTTTGTCGTTTTTCGTCGCCACAGATCTCTATAAATAAAATGCATTAGAAATATTACAAAATGTAATATTGATGCTAGGTATAAATTATTTCTTCGTTTTTTTTTTTTTTTACCTTGTTAGATTTTGCGGCAGTTACAGTAGTGGGAGCAACAGCTATAGTATTTGGCGGAGGATGAGACACCGGAGGAATCATTGAGGTCGGCAAGTGCTTTTAATTTATCAAGATTATGATGAATAGGACAAGATGGTAATTGGTTAAATAATAGTTTATTCAGATCTTCATAATTTTTATGGGAGAATTCTCTTTAAAGGTGCTCAGAATCATTTGACACTTTTGTGGGAAAAGAAACGAATCTTCTATATTGAAACAATTGACCAAGAACAAATCATATACGACCGAACACCCATTTTATTGCCTTATTTCTGAAAATATCCCTTTCTGATGCCGAAAATCACGAATGTACATCATGAAACAAGCTTTACCAAATCTGCACATTTAGCCTTAAAATCTTTTAGTACGTCAATGGTCTTTACTATTTCTTCGAGACGGTGAAAAGCTTCCGACTCGAAGCCACGATCGAATTGATCACGTGCCTCTTGCGCATTGAGAATTATGCTAAATTAGAAGCGGAAGGAAAAAAGGGAAAAGCAGTGTCAATAACAGTACTACACAAATAACCACAAAATTGTTGTGGAAGGCGAACAAGACGAAAACCGACTGACTATTGATTTTCAATCCATGTTTGCGTCTTCGATTTTTATTGTAGAGTGACAGAGCAACACTTGCAAGCACCCGTGCCAAAGCAAAAAAAGCGAAAAACTACATACCTTTCGAATAACTGGGTTAACTTCATTGAACACTCGTTGTTTTGGAGTCTTCTTATAGTGGGGTTCGTTTCTCTTTAGGGGTGGGGACGCTTTGTGAAAAGAGGCCTCTCGGAAAGAGGGGAGGGGACTTGTGGGTGTAGGAAAAATTGGAGACGGAACTTTTTGCAATTGGGAAATTCGATAAAAGATAAACGTGACTTCCCACAAAAGACTTCGACTCAAATGATTGGGTGGACTGATTAGAAACCACACATGTACGACATCGTATATGACCTTTCCGGGGTTAGGTTTCTTTTTTAGCAAGGATCTGATATAGATTCTTTGTGACGTTTAATACTTTTTGTTCTTTCCTTATTAGTGATCCAATCATTTGGGATTTACAAGCAAGTGTGATTTTTAAATCTTATATCTCGTGTGTGTAATGGTAATGAAAAAAGTAATTTTTAGTTAGATATACAGATTAAGTCAATTGATACAATTAGTCAAGCCAAATATATTTTTGACTATATAAAATGATTATCATTAATAATATATTTGTCTTATATAAATGTTTATTTTTATATCAAAATAAAAATTATGTTATATTTTTCTGGATTTTTTAGATTTAATTTGACAAAGTTATAATTAATTTTATGTTTTAATTATAAAAAATTTTTGCAATAACTTTACAATTAGAATAATTTTGTCAGATTAAATCTAAAAATCCAGAAAAAATATAACATAATTTTTATTTTGATATATACATAAAAAATATTTATTAATAAAAATTAAAAATTTTTATATAAAACAAAAATTTCAATTTTTACTATGTTTTATTAATAAAATTACACATGTGTTTTATTATTTTTCACAACTCAAAAAATTAAAGTTAAAATAAAACTAATTAATTAGTATATTTGGAAATTTAAAATCTCGAAACTAGTTTAAAAACTAATTAACCAAGATAATATTAATATATTACTAATAAATTATCAATTATTAATAATAATTGATAATTTATTATCAATTTTTGATTTTTTTTAAAAAAATAATTATTTTGAAATACAATATTTTAATGATAAAAATTTATTTAATATAAAAATCTTATAAATTTAATAAATTAGAATATAAAATACAAATCAATCATAGTAAATAACATTAAAAATTTAATTACCGTAACCTACCAAAATTAAGCACCACTTTTTGGGCTCTAAAAAATGTGTGGTTCTTATTTCCGGACATTTCCTCTCAGTTCGAAATCATTGTTATTAAAAGCGATTTTATATAGATTTTGTAATATAAATTTGTAGAATTCATTCATGATTTAATAGGGTGATGCTTGTATAAACAAACAATGCACGTTATTAATATTGCCATTTCTAAACTCTGACTAACTAGTTCGAAACTTCTAAACTAATTTCGAAGTTTCAAAAACTAATTAATTTAGTTTTGAAACCCGAACCCTAATTTTTGAGTTTCGAAGGGCAATACTACATAATGTAAAGAAATTAATAAATGATCAAAAATTAACTAATATAAAATAACTAGTGATAAAAACTTAATGAAAAAAGGGGGTTTTTAATAAAATAACTCGTAAAAAATCGGAAAATAATGATAATTCATTAATGGTTAATGAAACAAGGAAAAGAAAATTCGAATTTTTTATTGATTAGTAAACTTATTTAATTTAATCAAATTATTAATACATGTATATACATATGGTCGCTTATTACATGCCAATTCAACTTTGCAAAGAATGGTAAATTCCTCAAGATAAAATTATGATTATCCCTTATACAGATCTAGCTATACTCTCAGTAGTCCAATCGGGGACTTTGCCTGAATATTTTTCTCTAGTTATTTCAACTACAGTCGACTTGAGAGATCCTATTAACGAGCCTTTATTAAAAAAATCAAGAGAATAAACGATCGTTAAATTTATCGCATTTAATCAAAGCAAACCACAGATTACTTACCACCAACCCAAGCACGACAATTAGCAACAAAAACTTTGCCGTTGCTTTTTTCCTCTAAAAATGCTATATGATTATTAAGCCCATTCAGATTCTGGAATCGGTTATCCGTGCTTAATGCACGAAGTATTTCCTGATGTAGTCTAGGTTGGAAATTCGGTAAAAGAGTGGTTCCTCCAATCAACAGTATAGAAGCAGCAAGGGGTTGGCGGAGATGTATTGGTGTCTAATACCAAGAATAATAATTCGTTGAAAAATGCTAAATCAAAATAATATGCAGTTATCGCTTGACAATACCTTTAATAGGCATTCCAATAAACATCCTACGATACTTGATTCATCCTCATCCCCTTCAAACAACACTTCAGCTGCTCGTTCTCTTATCCAACCTGGCAATACAAGTGTTCCCATCTGTCTCTCCCTGCCATGTTTGCTTAATGTGATTGGATAGTAGATCTCGGTAGCTGAACTGATTGATGCATACTTTTTCTCGAAATCTTCTTCGGGAGTTTTCTCAGCACTGACGATACTCGACGTGGAAGGTATTATCATTGGTCCAACGTAAAGAAATCGGGTTTTTATATCTTCGAGGACGGTTGGTGTTAAATATTTAAGGTGGATAGGCTGTCGATTGGTAGACGGGGGAACAATTATCTTCCCGAATTCAGAAATTAGCTTTTTAAGTCTTTGAGTAAGAGCTCGACCGGCCAATGGAGTAGTCCTGATAAAAGGATTTAATGGTCTTGCACTAAAAGTCTTTACAATAGAAAATAATGATCCATAAAAGAACTACTCAATTAAAAAAGCCATGCATTGTATTTTGAGATCCTTACCGGCATAACAGTCGTCTCTAAATGACCACAATCGACAACTAATCCCGTAGTACATCCAGTGGTAAGCAAAGCCAACATGTGAGATGGTGCGAACGATATTGAAGGGACCTATATTTAACGTTCCACGTTCTTTTAATAAAAAAACATATGAAAAACTTTCGATTCATTTTATAACCAATACCTGAAGATTTTCAAAGAGCACTTTTGCAATTAGCTGTTTCAATTTCAATGGCATCATAGGCGATTCGCAAAGCACCACTTTACGTTGTTTGGGATCTGTCAAGAGGTATCTGAAATTGTTCCATTATTCAAGTAACGATGAATTTGATGAAGCCACCTGGTAAATATACAATAAATTATTTCTGATTCTTTATTTCACCTAAAGTAAATATCGTGTAGATAATGCGCCATTCGATCATAGAGTGACTCTAATTCTTCAGAAGTTCTCCCAATACTCAAATCAAACAATTCAGAAAACTAATTTTAACATATCAATAATTGATTAATTTCAGAAAAATCAGATGAGTTGTAGTTGAATTTTGTACGTACTCCTCCAATAATACGGCAGCCTTCACCACAATCTCTTCGTGACCCGCCACTTCCTGTCAAGTCTGGCTCCCAGTGTGCCTTCATATTTCCTGCAAAAATTGGCACAACATGTCGTGGCCTTGATTCACCACTAAAACCAGCTTTTATGTATAAACTTCCAACATCTAAGACTATCCTGTCTTCTCCAGTTCCATAAATTGAATGTCTACGAGGAAGAGGAGCAGTCTGAGTTAAACTAGCGGTAGATAATGTTGGTCCAGGAGCAGGTGAAGAGGGACTTATAACGCTTGTGATTGGAATTGTAGTTTGTGCTGGCTGTGTGTTGACAGACAAAGTGGTAGAATTGTCTGCCATTTATATACTGTTACTGTAAACTCTTTTGGATAATGCACCTTAAAATAACAATCTCACAATCTGATTAATGTAACGATGACCAATCAAATTGATCTTTCATTATCAAATTATTATTAATAATATGCCTGATTTAGACTATAGCGATATGAGAAACATTTAACGGAATATCCATCATGATCAGCTGCGAAAATTTTTATTGAAATTTAATTAGTTAAACGGTTTCCTTTAACCCTCTTAATTTTCTTATAAATATCCTCATTGCTCGTCACCACCTACGGTTTCTCTATTTTTAAACTTTGCCCTTAACAATAAATATTACTTTATGGCACCTAATCATTCAAATGAGGAAAACTCGCATAATAGTCTTCCATGTCCCATTTTGCGTGTAGAAGATTACGATATTCATCCAAAGACTGGTTTTTTACCGCCCAACCCTCCTTTAACACGTTTACCTGACCTCTATTATTCTCCCTGGGAGCAAGTAATAGATAGTTATCATGACTTGATGTTGGCTGGACGTTTGGGAGAGTCGATTAATATGGTATACAATACATTGCATTTTTTCCAATGATGATATAGCATCACTGTTAAACTCGAATTAGCTAGTTTTCTTTGATGTGCATTTGTTTTTTTTTTTTTACTAATCCAATACAACAATGTAGCTGCCAATTTTGGAAACTGATCACCTCAAATCAATACCGGAATATAGACGTGCATTTTTAATTCTCTCTATTTTGGCACATGGTTTTGTGTGGGGTAAATATGAAGCAGTCAGAGATGTGAGTGAAAGGACATATACATACTTTTGATTGCATGTTACATTTAATATTTTTGCACTCTTATTTGACGATCCTCTTTTACATAGGTATTGCCAGCCTGCATCGCAATACCGTGGGTAAAAGTTTCTAACGTTCTTGAAATTGCACCCATTTGTAATCATGCTGCGGTTGTTCTATGGAATTGGCGGTTGATCTTTCCCGATGCGCCATTTGATCTAAAGTATGACGTTTTTGCTATGGAAATTTACTATTTACCAGTTAATAATTCAATTGACATTCGTAATAACTTTTTACCCTTTTTCGAAAGTAATCTCGCCACACTAATTACATTCACCAACACGAGTGATGAAGGGTGGTTCTATCTCGTGACAACGACTATCGAGGCTATAGGAGGACGCGCACTCAACGCCATAATTTTGGCCCTTGAAGCTGTACGCGATCGAGACAACTTTAAGCTAATGTCTGCTTTGATGGTGATTTGTTCCGCAATGAAGGACATCAACGAGACCTTGCAAAGAATGTTTGATAAATGTGATCCTTACATATTCTATTGGAAAGTTCGTCCATATCTGTCGGGCTGGGAGAACGAGGATCGACTACCAAAAGGATTGATATATGAAGGTGTTGATCAACCTGATGAATATGGAAATCCAGTTTATCGTCAGTATGCAGGCGGCAGTGCCGGCCAGAGTGCATTAATTCAAGCGATTGATATTGCCTTGAATGTCGAACATTATCCAACTGGCGTTAAAACTGGTATAACAAATAATAAAGTATTTTCGTCCGAAGTAAAAGAACATACTCGTGAAGAACCTAACGGAAATTGCTATGCTGCAAGCAGCATAAATTCGTTAAGCAACGCGAGTTCCTGCTATCATCTTCGAATCCAAAATCATCAACAGCAACTCGAATTTGAGAAAATGTCCTCGAACGCTTCCAATAATAACAAACCTCAACAACCCTATCTTCATAAAATACGACAAAATATACCGGGACCACATCGACGATTCTTGGAAGATCTTGCGAAAATTGCAAACATTCGTCAATACATTTTGACACGAACCAAATTCCCTCTAGATGACAAAGTACAGGGATTAGATGACGACGATTTGGTTAAAGCATATAATGATTGCTTGAACGAAATGAAAAATTTTAGAAATAAACATTTACAAATTGTGAGCACTTACATTGTAATTCAATCACACCGAGGAGGTGGTCATTTTCATACCAAGAGTACAACCGAGTCATCATTGCATAAAGGTTATTTTTTATTTATTTTTTTACATTTTAGAAATTCCTAATATATAATTTTTAACGTATTTGTTGTTATTATATAGACCCTTATTTGGCAAAATGTCCTGTGAGCACAATTACTCACAACACGACCACCAACATTCCAATCACTGCCATCAATAATAATTCCACAACTAATACAATGAGTACATGCGTTTCAGTCACCCACTTGAAAACTAAAGACGCGCGAATCACATCAAAGACGATAACAAATGGTTCTGATTTGGATCTCAAAGGAACTGGAGGAACCAACTTGATGCCGTTTTTGAAACAAATGCGCGATGAAACAATCGCTAAAGAAATTGGATCCTGAAGAGCTATACACAATATCATATAAATTTTAATTTTTGTATATATCGATATTAATGTAATTCTTAATTTAATTGTTCAACGTTAACGTTAATGTTAACGTCAATGTTAACGTCAATAAAATTCCACGCTATGTATTATTATCAATATCGATATTAGCAGAATCGGAAGATCTTTAAGGTGTTGTATAAACTCTTACCGTCACCATATTTACCATGACTATAACACACATTTCTAGCCCACCAAGTGTAATTACACATGAAGAAGCAACCCAATTACACGAAAAGTCCTCATTCTCTGCAAGTTCTGGTGACAATGAGGTTAATGTACCCGACATAGTTCGATACACACAACATAATGTTCGGTGTTTAGTGACTCCATATCCTGGAGGTGGCAGTGGTTATATATTTGGAAAGGGTTCTTTACAGGTGACAGTAAGGTATATTCATTAAAAAATTAGATTACAAGTAAAATTTAGTTATTGTAATAATTCATGATTTATCATTGTGCGCGTGCTGCTATGGCATGGGGGTAGCAAATTATACTTTTACTCGAAGGAAGCAAAGGCTGGTATAGCCATTGATTATCCCGACATAATTCTACATGCTATATCGCGACAGCCGGAACCCGAGGGATCTGGTCCATGTATTTATACGCAACTGGGAGAACTAACACGACTTGATCACTTGGGAATTGGAGCAGCAGCAGTAGGGACTGGGCAGCAACAACAACAAGTAGTAGTAGAAGAAGAGGAAGAAAATCAAATAACTGAAATTAAATTTATTCCTGATGATGCTGGTAGTTTAGATGCGATATTTGACGCGTTAACTGAATGCGCAGCGTTACATCCCGATAAAGAGTTTATGCAAGAAGAGGAGGAAGACGAAGAAGAGGAGGAAGAGGTCGACAATGAAGATGATGAGGCAATTGACGATAATGTTGCTGGCGAATCCCAATGGTTTACTGCTGAAGCACAGAGCAGTAAGCAGGGATTGAGCGAACGTGGCAGGGTATTATTATTATTATTGCTAATTCTTAATATTGCTTCAACATTTGGTTTTTTTATTTTTCATTTACCTTTTTGCTTTAATTGCTGAAGAATATATTGGAAAATATTACACTCGTTGAAACTCCCACCGGGGCAGTACATCAACCGCAACCGGCTGGTATTGACGAAGGAAAGTTTCAGGATGCGGATGAAGATGAAAAAATGATTCATTAAAGAGAAAAAATATATATTTTGCGTCAATCTCAGAAAAAATTAAATTTTAGAATTTCTCTCAATTCAATGTATTGATCAATTGCTTGTTATAATTATATAGCTATTCATTAAAAAGTCGTAACGAAAAATATTCGTACGAATATTACAATTGATACTTTGACTTCAATAAGTGTTGTTTCTCAAGATAGATAGGAATAATTCTTTTGAGTGAATCTTGCGACAATAATCATAAAATATATATATATATATATATGGTGGTGGTGGCTATGAAGTCAAAGTGCGAGTTGTCAGCAAGGATCAAACTTTATAAATATATAATAACTTGTCGACGTAAGCCGTTGAAACTTTTCTAACGGGAGGCCCTGATGCACGCATTGCAAAGAAGTTCAATCAGAAGCACACGTGTGACCTACCTATTGTCGCCTTATCCGTAATGTTGGAATCAGTGAGATGCAACAATTTACCAACCATCAAGGTATAATTTTTCAAACTTTGCTACTATTTCCTCCGCAGATTCAGCTTTTAATGAATTTGTTGGCGCTGTAGTACCATGAACATCACGATTGGTTGACATTATAGCTGTACTATTCAATGACGATAATGATTGGACAGCGCAATCAACACCATCGATAGCATCAAAAGAGATTGAATTTTTGTCATTTATACCGCCGTCGCCTATTTGTGTCATTAAATAATTAACTAAGAGAACCAAATAAATCTTCAAAACGACAGTAACGATATTTATTTATAAAGATTCGATAATATTAATCGAAGAAAATACTCACTTTGTTCACGATGAGCGACTGTGGTATTAGCAGTCGAACTATCCCCTCCACTTTTGGATTTACCCTTCGACTTCTTTTTCTTTTTCTTTCTTCGTTTCTTTTTCGATGATGACGAATCATCCTGCAGTGGCGTTATGTCATCGTCATCCGTTGTTGTATAAGGGACGAATCGCAACCCTTTACTTGATTTAGCTTTCTTTTTGTGTTGTGCTCCGCTGTCTTCTTCGAGGGAAGCAGTCCCTCCCGATGGTGACGAGGATAATACAAAACGTTTTCGTAAAGAACTGACCGGTATTCGTACTTTGGGTTTTAGCGATATATGCTGACGTAGGAGACGTTTAGATACATTAGAATAATCACGATCTATTGCGAGAGCCCAATATGAATCCTCTTCTTCGCCTTTGTAAGATAATAACATTAAAAATTTCATTATGTACTATGCAATGTTACGTATTCGCGTAATTACTAGGAAAGCTTAAAAGACTCGACTACTTACCTTCTAATGCTCGTATTCTCACAATTTCAGAGCCTACTTTCAGGCCACCTCCCGCCATTATTAAAGCAGCTACTTGCTTGGCTTGAGGAACATTCAGTCGAGCGTAACCAGAGGTTGAATCTTTTGTATGATCAACCCATGTACTTGAAAACCCTCGTTTCTCGAAGCTTGCCTAATCGCAAAAATTATACACATGAAAAGAAGAACTAATTAGCTATACAATCTGAGGGAACACAAAGACAAGGTCAAAAAGTATAGTATGAACAAATAACAACCTGAATATCTTGTCTAGTTCCATTAGGATCAAGATTTTCAAGACGAAGCACTCTGTTCCTTCGAAACCAAGTACGAGGAGCGTTAGCATTAGTGGTGGTATTGGTAGTGAAAGTAGTGGTTGTCGTGCTGAGCGACCTCCCCTTCCTCTCCTCCTCTATGTCAATCTTGTTGGGCGAAGACTTGTTGTCTGATATATGATCTATTTCCATCCAGGTAAAGGTTGATCAATAATCCCTATTTATCAATTACTGTGCGTATTTATTTACTGTGTTTTGATGACGTGATGTAAATTTTAAACAATTCCTATTTTGGCAAAATTGATTTTAACTGTATAGTGTGCACTCATCAACTTGCTCAAAACCCCAACTCCAGCCATATACAGTAATAAACATTATGAATTATCAAACAAACTATCCTGATTATGGAAAATCCAGGTAATATTTTCAAAATTTCAAGTCTATTTTTTTTATTTAATTGATGTGAATGACACATACATGCTAATTTTTACAATATGATTGGATGAGTGTGTAAAAATATCTCGAGTACTAAAATTCATGACGAGCAATTCGTGGATGAAGAATTTAACGAAGATGAAGATGATTTCTAATTTATACAAATGAAAAAATGCAAAAATACTAGTTAATTAATGAATGCTATTTACTCTTAAATTTTTGATACATGCTTTGCTTTAACGATATCGACAAACTCTCTAAGCATTCGTTTAGCTCGTTTATCACCCAACAACGCGGTGTTAAACGCATTCATACAATAAGCGAAAGCAATTTTGTACTCGTTATTCCAAAAAAGTAAACTTCCACCAGACCCACCCCATCCCAATAATTCAATATCCTCGAGACCTTCAAGACGCCACACACCATATCCACCAACAGTGGGTACCATAGTCTCGTGCAAAACGGCATCATAAACAGGTGGAAGGGGTTTGAGAGCTAATTCGTAAGCGGTCTCGCTTAATAGCACAGGCTCGCCGTGACGGATCGGTTGTCCCTTGTTTGCAAGAAGGGCCGCCAATTTTCCCATCGAACGACTGTTTGTAATGCCGCTATAGCTTGGACCTTCGGATACACGAAATTCGCGACGATTGTAAGCACCGGGTTGTGCTTGATTTGGTGCCGAATGTACTAGTGATTTGAATGGAATGCTTCTGGGATTAATCATATCTTTGAAAATTTCGTGTAATGGTTCAGCGATCAGCCATGATGGGAAAATCATTTTTCCTAAAACTCTTAGTAATGGATATTCATAAATTGTGGCGACGCGTGAATCCATTTTTTCAGGAAGGGAGAGATGAAATTCAATGTCGTATGAATCTGATAATTCTTGATCAATAATTTTTCCAATTGTTCGATGTTGTGGATCAACTCGACGTACAATCTCATTCAAATACCAGCCACGAGTGCACGCATGATAAGCCCTGGTTGGTACGCCATTCCAATTGTGAGGTTGTTCTTGGAGGATTTTCGCTAAGTGATCCATATCCGTTAAATCTTCAATTTTCATTGTATGATGATCGATAAAACTTACACCAGCACGATGTACCATCAAATCACCCAAGGTGACATTCTCTTTATTGCCTTGTGCGAATTCCGGCCAATAAGTAGCAATTTTCTCGTTATAATCTAAAAGTCCTTTTTCCACAAATCTAGCAATCACAGTCGACGCAAAACTTTTCGAACTCGAGAATACCAATTGAAGAGTGTCACGATCGTATGGACGCTGCGTTCGCGTGTCCATCACACCACCTTGCAACTCGACAACTTGAACTCCCTCATAAAACATTGTGACTGATGCGCCAATTTCATCACCATTCTCGAAATTCTCCGCGAAAATTTTTCGTATGCTTGCAAATTCGGGATCAGTGTACCCGGACACTTGTATCGATGGACATTCTAATCCGATTATTTGACATGATAAAGGTAAGAATGGACCAGAGATGACGTATCGATATAGAATAAAACCCAGTACGAAGGGTGTGGCTAGTGTTATATTGCGTATTATTGGGTTTCTAAGAAACCATGGTTGTTTTGTCTGTTTTTTTGGATATGCGGAGAAGACGAGTGGTTCTTGTTCACCCTTTATTTGATGATAGGATTCCATTATTTATTATTATTTGGTTAGTTAATTGGTTAATTAGTAGTTAATATATTTAATGGAATGTTGGAAAAAGAGGAGGAGGAAAGGAAGGAAAGGAAGGAAATGGGTGAATGAATGAGTATGGCGAGGATTTTTGTTATTTTACCAATCAAACTTTGCAAAAGAATCGTTGAAAATAAATAATGAAACGACAAAAAAAGATTTTTGCTCTTTTTTATAATTTTTTTTGTTACGAAAACAACGCAAGCTTAATCTTAATTAGAATATTTGCATTAATTCAAGCAAACATATGTAATGTAATCATTGGACAAAAAAACAAAGAAGCAGCAAAGAAGACCAACTAATCGGCAAGGGAAAATCTTTAGACGTTGGTTCTTTGTTCAATTTATATAAATTCTATCGTTCATTAATTCTTGTGCTGCACACAAAGAAAGGACATAGTTGTTATCCAAAAAGCGGAATTAAACTGTTGTGTACACTTCCCACATGTTATATATCGATGGTTTTGATCACGTTCTGATAAAGAGAACAATGGAATTTCAAACAGTAGTTTATTCAGCTAAGTGGTTAACAATAGAATTTCACTTATAATTAGCAACAAACCTAACATCATTGTAATATTACAATGTCATGTAAACAAGGAGCAACTGTGTCACTTCATTATGACAATAGTGAACAAAGAAACGTTACCGTTACCATTATCGTAATATACGTAAATAAAAATTCAAGGTTAAATTCTAAGGGTGAAATATCTTAAATTGTGCGCACAAACACATGGCAAGACCGATTCATCGTTTATCCGTTGACAAAAATGTGTAATCCTGTTTTCTTTGTGTGTGCATATCGATATAATTAAATTTGAAATAATGCATGTACAAAGAGAATAAAATTCTCCAATAGAAGTAATTATTACAGAACAAAAGAATAACGTCATAAGTGACCCCTAAATATTTTTAACGGTTAATTAAAAAACTTTATAGCAGCAGTTTGTACAGCATTCGCAGCTTCGCTTCGATTTCCAATAAATTGATTGTAAAGTTGTCTATTTAGCTAATGTCAAAAGTCGAAACGCTATGTTTCGACGGATTCATTAACAAACGTTTAATATTGTTCCGACTTTTGACGAGTCTTTAAGATAGTTTTGCCTCTCGATAGGTTTATTAGTAAGGTTTCGATATAATTTGACAGGTAGCGCCGATTGGTTGAAGCCAGTCTGTACAACTCCGGGAACAATTGGGACATAGTAGAGACAGTCAAAAATATCCTTTGTACATTATGTTCAGGGTTCTTGTTCTCCCAATAAAATTTATCGTGGCATGAGATTCATATCTTTATGTATTTCGCTAAAGGAAGCCTGCTTTTAATTGACGTTTTGTTTAGTATGATAAAGCAAATCTTTAATTAAAGTTTTTGTTTAATATGATAAAGCGAGTCTGTAATTGAAAGTTCGATTTTTTTGCAATAAGTGGAATTAATTAATAATCTATAGATTCTAACGAAATTTATCGCGATAAATTGTAGATATAATGGTTCTAATATATCGATATCGTTTAAATGTTTATTAAAAAAAGGTATAAAAGTACTACTTACACATCCAAATAAATTGTATTCATGTAATTATTTTAATACTAATAAACAAACATATTAAACATAAAAATGAGTGAAAGAAAGAAGTCCCTACTTGATAAAGGTAAAAGTCTCATCCCTTCAATACAAAAAAAAACAACTGATGAGCAATCATCACAATCATCACGACAAGAAAGGGAACAAAGTACTTTAAACGATGAGCCAGAGGGATTGCTATTACAAACTCCTCCCGTTGAGACTAGTACAATAGATGTTCAACCATATTTCATTCAACAACCAACTACGCGATTTCTTCATCCTGTCGAAGAACGAATTAGCACACCAATTAAAGATTCCGAAGTTTCACCTGCTGAAACCTCAATTCCTCAAACTCCATTAAAATCCTCAGCACCGGAATTTCCAGAAGACCAAACAAGCCATACTATATCAGAACAAAAAGAAACTAATGTATCTCATGAAGAAACTCCAGGAACAATTGAAAAACCAATTGAAATCAGTGAATTTGCTGAAGAAATTCCAAAACCAAAACCAGATGAAGTTGCTGAAAAAACTACAGAACCAATTGAAAAACCAGTTGAAACTATCGGTGAATTTCCCCCAGTATCAACAACTCCGGATCAAAGATCTATTACTCCCACAATTAAAGAACAAACGGTTACACAAGCCATACCAGCACCAATGGAGTCAGTCACTGTTAAAGCTGAAGAAATTCCAAATCCAATAACCAAATCAATTTCAAGACGGCAACAATCGATAGCACCAAAGACCAACAAAATTCTGGTTAAAAAAGAAAAATCGGCAAAGACAGCTGCTATTACCTCTACCATCTCTTCGATCAAAAAAATGTGGAACGAAAACTGGTTATTCCGCACCTTTATATATATTGTTGCAGGATTCAGCTCAATTCCAATTTGTATTCTAGTCGGATGGAGTATCACCAGCGCGGTTATTGTTGTTGGCATTGCTGGCATCTGTATCGGAATAACTGAAACAATTTCTGCGGGGATCGCAATGGTAATATTTTTGCCGATTGCTGGAATTATAGTGTTTTGTGTGTTCGTGGTGGCAATTTTGGCTGCGATATGTTATGCTGGTTTTACCTTGATAACCTATTTATGTGATCTGGTTGGAATTGGTGGGCGCATATATATCAAAGATAATGATGCTTTTAGACTTGGAGCATTGCATAATCAAAGGAAAATGGACAAAATTACAGTTTATTGATTTATCTAATTTTACGTATAATATGATAATTCGGTTTTACAGACATTTATAGTGAAATAGAATTTAATTTATTTTTGCGCTTTATAGAATTACGTATCAATAAATACTATTTTTATTAAATAATGAGTTACGTGATTAGCGTTAATGTACGATTTGCACATTATTACATGCGTTTATGAATGAAATTCTTTATGAATTTAAATTTAGCGATGATAAATGTGACCCAGAACGCGTTATTTCCATTGAATTTAATAAATTTTAAAAAACCACATACTATTAAGGCAGAATGTGGTGTTTTTATTTTTTTTATTTTTCATTGAATGCATATCATAATATAATCCATTGGCGAAAGAAGAGAAATACTTCGGATTTTTTTTATTTGCTTTAGATAAAAGAAAAACTACGGCTTCTTTTACATAATTTACTTCATTAATAAATAAATTATTAGTTAACAAGGAAATTTCCAATAAATCTGTAACTACATATATAGATAGATATTATATTATTACAAGATGAAAACAACAATTCAAAATTCGCAAGATGTAACAACCCATTTCGCTTTTAATCCATCTACTTTAACTCCACATTCACTGAAAAAATGCTGAATTTCAGCATCTCTTTTTGACGCTAACAACTCAATTCTAGTCATAAATGATCGATCAAGAATGTAAGGGATTTCATGATGTAAATATCGAAAATGATAAAAATAAGGGATACGAATGTCCATGCCATATTCATCTCTATATAATCCCATTGGTGAATTATAATACTTTTTAATCGGGACATTTGGAGATTGTTCAATTGTGACGGTGTCATTAGTTTCGTTTGAATTATCAGCTAGCAATTGGGTCGATTGTTTTGGTTCCGAATCTTGAGAAGATTGTGCTGTTTCTTTGATAGGCGAGCCAGGTGGAGTATAGGATTCGATATCAAGTCCTGTAGCTATCTTATCGTCACGGACGGACTTCCGAATTTCTGGTAATGGCTCATGAAATGATGATCTAGGTTTTCTAAGACAATCGGTTTTATTTGTAACGGACAAACATTCTTGTACTCGTTGCTTTTTATTTTGTTGCGCTCTAAAAACTATAGCATCGTCATCATTTTCATGAGCACGTTTTCGATTCTCATTAATTGATGTATCAACAATTATTTTATCTTTGTCTGAAGGTTCGGCGGAATCGCTCGATTTCTCAGGATTTTTGGATTTATTCTTTTCTTTCAATTCATTATTTAATTCATCAAGAATTTCATTGAATCTATCCTGAACTAAATTTTTAACTTTACTTTCTCGTCTTTCAAGAATTTCAAGTTGAATTTCGTCCAATCGCTTTCTTAAATTCGGATTTGATAAGTCAGAGTGGAATCGGCCGATCAATTCCTTTTTTTCTTGATACAAATCCGCATTGTAGTCATGTGGGTCTTGTCTAAGTGATGGCCCATTTTCCTCATTTGGAACTGCACCATTTTTTTCATTATCTGTCGAAGCCAATAGTTCAACCAATGGACAGTGAAGACCAACCGGAGTATGAATCGATAAAGCTGATTCATTATCAAATTGTAGATCATCATCATGTTGTTCTTCATTGATGGGTTCTGGCGTCAAGTTTCGAGAAAACCGCGATTCACTCAATATTTTTTCGAAATTGACTAATAATTTATTGCGAACCTTCAAAGAATAAGAGGACAATTCGTAACCATAGAAAAATAGCGCTGCCGAATTGGACATTTGGTAGTAGATTTAAATCAAAAGGATTGGATTTTTGTTTTCGAATAGTGCTAGTAAAAATTGATTAGTAAAGTGAATAGCCGTTTTGCCTTTGGCTATTCAAGCTATTCTTTTATGGCTTGCTCGATTTGCTAATATATTTATTAATGAGGATTATTTTGATGATCGAAGGAGCGGCAAAACAAAAGTAAGTATGATTTCAAAGTAATCAATCTGCTAAAAGCATCATGATGCATAATCAAGCCATTGTTAAAGAATTTTAAAGCATGGCATTTTCAACATCAATACCACATGCAAAACTTAGGGGACTACGTGTAGAAATCTATATGAACTCGAATGGTTAAGCTCATATAAAATTGGTGCATGTTCTTGGTAATCAAATGGATCATGAAAAGCAGATTGCTAATTTGGTACGATTTTCTTGAATTCGTGAAATTTAAAAATGTTTGCTTTGCAGTTTCCAGATGTAAAACTAACGCATTCAATGAAATTGGATGCATGGATGCTAGGATACCACAAGACAGATATTGTTCATTATGAGATTACATGTTGTATGACTATATATAGCATACTTTCACGAAGAAAATCAGTCCTAAAATACAATAACTGGCAGTTCATTCCATCGCAATATATACAAATTCGACACTACAATGACAATACAATATTGAGGATATATGCAAGCTTTCGTTGGCTTACATTGCATTCTATTAACGAAATGTACAATTATAAAGGTACAGTCAACTCTGGATATAACGAAATTTTTTATTACGTACACGAGATATTTATTACGAGTTCGTTATATAAAATATGGTTTGTTATTTTTTTATTTAAATAAGCTTTATTATTGATAAAATCATGAAGCTGTTAAAGAATCAGAGGTTAAAGATTTCGATTCATGCCAAGTAGTGATTCGGGCTAAAGTATTTAGCACCAAATGATCTGCAAAAAAATTCTAAATTAGGATTTAGGACATTTAGGACACTTTAGGACTTGTATGATAATTCAAAGTCCGAAATATTTAGGACTTTAGCCCGAATCATTAATGTCAAGTTCGTGTAAAGTTTGGAGAAGTGGTTAAAGCTCCTCCGTCGTCGATTAATACAAGAAACTTTTATTAATAGAGCTGTCAGTTCGTTTATAAACAGAGTTGACTGTATTTCGACAGAATTATTTTGACAGGGTTGAGTCTGACCTGTTTTGTAAGCAATCTTTTTCCGCAATGATCAATATTTTCCAAATCATATTTAGATTACCTTTATAGAAATAGTCTCTACCATATAATGCATACTTGGAACAAAGAAATTGAGTCACGTTGTGGGCTCCTATCAGAGCAAATATAGAGACAATTTGTTTTTATTAATAAAATTGACTACGTGGGTATGAATGATATTTTCATGCGTTCCTAATCCATAACAAACCTTAAATTTTTAAATTTTATATTAGTTCGTTATGGCTCTAGAAAACATAGCGATTGATATAACGAACTTTTTACTAACAGACCGTCTGTTCGTTATAGAGTTAATTGTATTTCCAGAAAATATGTTCGCGTGTTGCAGAGCAACGATTCCACAGGGATCTGGTGGGGGTAGTGGGAATTACTGTGTACTAATTTTGGTTGCAAAGCATTCAAAATTTTCTGTGAAGGAATCAGTCTTGTTCTATAAGTGGAATTCGAATCCTCAGCTTCAGAAAACCTCTAAAATATAAAAACATCTGGTAAGCTTGAATGAGAAATATGTGCTAACCTGTTTTAAAATCGTATCTACGAATATTTTTTCCTCTGATCCTCCCTTTCTTTGGCTACAACGCTGTTGGTGATGATGATATGGGTTTCATTTTCTAAAAGTTTGGTTTTTTATCACCACATGTTCCATTTAGAACCTTTACTATAGTAAATATGTGGTAGGGTTGCCCTTCGAAACTAGTTTAGCACTAATTGCGAAAAAAACTTACGTTCAGCGTCAAGATATCCGGTTCTGAATTGCAATATTAAGATCATTCTCGTCAAATCTCCTAAAAAGGCAAACAGAGTCACAACCCACTCTTGAATGAAATTCATTCCAATTAATATGCTAGAAGAAAATTACGAATTAGTTCTTTTCTTGAAGCATTGAAGGAAGAAAATAACATGAAAGATGTAGAGGATATTTCTGCATTAAATATCACAAGCAAACTAGTAAACATACCTCTGCTAATAAATTATTCAGTAAAGAAAGCTTGTAAAGATATCTTCAGAATGTGTAGCTCAAACACATATATTCAATTGAATTTAGTTGGTCCAATTTTTCAATACTGAGTACAAAACATTATAAATTATCGAATGTTGTATTCATCAGAAAATTTTTTAATTATATAACTATTAGTTATATAATAATTTATATTAAATATATTAATATATAATCAAATATCTTTATAATCACATTTATTTATAATCATATTTCAAAAATGATAATTATAGAGAAATTTAACTATATATTGAATTTTTAAATAATATATAATATTTTTTTATCTAATTTAATATATAACAGCTAACAAAATTATAAAATTATATATATGTATAATTTTATTAATAAAAATAAAAATTTTTGTTTTATATAAAAGTTTTCAATTTTATTAATAAATATTTTTTATTTTATATCAAAATAAAGATTATAATTTATATTTTAACATATATTTTTTCTGGATTTTTTAGATTTAATCTAAAAAGTTATTCTAATTGCAAAGTTATTATTATAAATATTTTTTATAATTAAAATATAAAATTAAATATAAAAAATTTTTTACAAAACTTTTATATAATGACTAATAGAATTATGGAATTACATATATAATTTTATTAATAAATGTATTTTATTTTTATATCAAAAAAAAGGTTATAAGTTATAGTTTAACATATATATTTTTCTGAATTTTTAAATTTTTTTCTAATAAAATTATTTTAATTGCAAAGTTATTACAAAAATTTTTTATAATTAATTTTACATTTTACTTATAAAAAATTTTTGCAATAAATTTGTAATTAAAACAATTTTATCAGAAAAAAATTTAAAAAATCCAGAAAAAATATATATTAAACTATAACTTATAATTTTTTTGATATAAAAATAAAAAATATTTATTAATAAAATTAAAAACTTTTATATAAAACAGAAATTTTAATTTTTACTATATTTTATTAATAAAATTTCACACATAATTCCATAATTCTGTTAGTTACTAAATAAGACAAAAATTTTAATTTTACTATAATTTACTAATAAAATCGCATATATAATTTCATAAATTTGTTAGTTATTATAATTATCAAATATAAATTTTTGATATTCTAATAAACCTTTATAAATTATATATAATTTTGTAATTAAATTATTAAATATGTATATTATATTTAATTTTTGCGATTGAATTAATTTATTTATATATAATTATTTGATTTTAGTAAATTTTATTAGTTAATAATTTATGAATAAAAAAGAATTATTTGAAATTGGTATTTTTAATATAATAAAATTTTTCAATTTTATTCAAATAACTTGTAAAATCTTTCATTTCTCTTATTTAAATAATATTAACTAGCAAATTAATTTTGCTACACAATTTTTGATTTAATAAAATTTTAAGTTAAATTTATATTCAAATTTTGCAATATTAAAAATTAAACTTTCAAAATCTAAAATTGTATAATTATATAATTAAACAAAATTTTAATAATTTGTATTTTTCAATTTTTCAAAGTTGGCACCTATTTATTAATAATGTAAAAATAATCCTATACTCTTTAGATAAATTTAATTTTAATCAATTTTTTATTAAAAATAAAGAATTGTATCATAATATTATAGTATTAAATATATTCCGTTAAATATATATATTATTTATTTTGAATTATTAAACAAAACAATTTTTGTATTATTAGAATAATTATAATTTTTGAACTATTAATTAAATAATATTTTTAATGTTAATCAATTAATTAATAATTTTGTCAAGAATTATTGTACTAATATATAACGATAATTAATCAAATTTAAGATCTTGCAACTCGAAATTTAGCCAAGTTATTGATAAAATCAGTTTAATATTGTGCATAAATTTTGAGCTATTTAGTTTACAATCTTATTAGATAAAATCATTATAAGCTCGGAACTGTATTTAGAGAATATATATTTAAGGATAGTTGACTATTTTTACGCATATAAATGAGTGAAATAAATCATTTGAATCACAAAATTACTGTCCTATGGTGCATAAAATATTTTATAAAATGTGTAAACTTCTTTACTAAGAAGTAAATACAAAATTTAATCCGTGAATATGCTCAGAAAGGCCTATTCTATCATATTTACGGGTTAAATTTTGTATTTACTTCTTAGTAAAGAAGTTTACACATAAAATACAAACGTTTGATGACTAGATTTTTTCGATACATGTATCAGGCTAAACTTAGATTGGAGAAGTTCGTGTCACAATCAAATTTTCATTGTAAATGTATTTGACACTTTATGTTTAGTATCTCTTTAACTCTCCGACCATACCTGTCGAAAATATCCTTACTCTCAAACTTCCAATTACAACTAAAACTACAACACGCTCAAAAGACACTTTGTCGAACTATGGCTACCAAACAGCAACCAAAATGGCATAAACCTGTGACTGTAAACCCTCCACCCACTATTAAAATTTATAATTCGCTTACGAAAAGCAAGGTAGCTTTCTGGCGAATATGCGTTTTATGGTGCATTATACTAAGTTGTGTATTTTGAAATTTGCAGATTGATTTTATTCCGATAAAAGGGAAACAAATCACTTGGTATAGCTGTGGTCCAACTGTTTATGACGCATCACACGTTGGTCATGCAAGGTATTATATTATTGTTTTGTATCGTGTAATAATTATCAGTATGATGATAATCTATTTTTTAAATTTCTTTGATCAGGAATTACGTGACTATCGATTATCTAAGAAGAATATTGAGTGATTATTTTAACTACGACGTATTGTTTGTCATGAATGTAACTGACATCGATGATAAAGTAAGAGGCATCCATTTCTTTATCTTCAAGAAACAAATTCCCAGGCAATCAGAATCTAAAAAACCAATTCACTCCAGATAATATTACGCGCACGTCAAAACCACTTATTTAACCAACTCAAGTCTGACACAAATGCATTGACTCGCGATCTCATTGATAAAGTTCAAGTTGCGTTAAAAAATCACGCTCGTACTAAACTTGGCGTGGCTGATGGTAGTCTCGGTGGTGCTATGGCTGCGTCGGCTGCATCGGAAGGAGATCCAAAGTATCTTATGTATGCTAATGCGTTTGTAGGTTTCTTATTATTTGGGATTTAGCAAAGTGAAATGAAAACAAGCAAACAATGATTGGATATTCTTATAAAAAAAGCGTTGGTTATTATTTGGGTTATTCAGAGAGATTCTGTGGGGGCAATTGTGGATGCACAAGTAGCGCTTGAGGATAATGACATTAGTAGAGAAATGGCTCATAAATTGTTGGATTCTACGCAATTTATTTTGTCGTCATGGTTAGATGAAGAGGTAGGAACCTGATAATTTTTGCTTTTTTATCTCATAATACATAAGCTGATCTTTAATGGTATTTTAGAAAGGTTCAGCTATATCTGATCCTAAAATCTTTCGAGAACTCGCGGCTTATTGGGAACAAGATTTCATGGAGGATATGACTGCTCTGAATGTAAAATAAATTTCTATTTGTGTGAGATGTGTCTTATTTTGGGGATATCACTCTTATTTATTATACCAATTCTCAATTATTAAGGTTCGCCCTTGCGATATTCTAACACGTGTTAGCGAATATGTCCCGGAAATCGTCGAATATGTGCAAAAGATAGTGGACAATGGCTATGCTTACGAAGTCGAAGGATCCGTTTATTTTGATACGGTTGCATTTGACGGTCACAAAAATCATCATTATGCAAAACTAGAACCCTGGTCAGCCGGAAATACGGGATTAATCAATGAAGGGGAAGGTACTTTGGGTAGTAAATTAACTGGGAAAAAGACTAATAGCGATTTTGCTCTATGGAAAAAGAGTAAACCTGGCGAACCAGCCTGGGATTCCCCCTGGGGACCGGTGAGTAGTTGTACTCAATATTGTCAAAATTATTCAATAAAACTTTTATTTATTGGATATAATTGTTTTTTTATAGGGACGACCAGGCTGGCATATTGAATGCTCTGTGATGGCAAGGCAAGCTTTTTTTGCTTTATTATTCTTATTAGCTGAAAGATATTATGTTAACCGCGAGTTTATAGTGAAATTCTTGGTGAAAATATGGATATTCATTCTGGAGGCATTGATTTAGCTTTCCCTCACCATGATAACGAATTAGCCCAATCTGAGGTATTTATCCTACTTATAAAGAATTTAACTGACGCGTCCAATAAAAAGATTTTTTCACAGGAATAAAACATCGTATCAATTAATTAGGCATATCATGGATGCCCTCAATGGGTCAATTATTTTGTTCACGCTGGTCATCTAGAAGTAGAAGGACAAAAAATGAGCAAATCATTGAAAAATTTTATTACGATTAAGGTGATGGCTAATTTCTTTTTTTTTACGATTGTGCTAAAGACGCTAACTAAATATCTAGAAAGCATACTTTTGAAATTTTGTCTGAGTTTGCATTATTTATTTGTATTGTATATTTATTTTTTTGCAGGAAGCCCTCAAAAAGTATACACCTCGTCAATTACGATTGTGCTTTTTGCTTCATCAATGGAATTCTAAATTTGATTTCAAAGATTCGAGTATGAATGAAGCCAAAAATATCGAAACAATATTAAATGTGTGAATTATTTCTTTTTTATAAGAAAAACTTTTTTTTCCATCTAACTTTTTCATTTACTAATGTTTTGTTTTTAATTAGAATTTCTTTGTAAATGCTAAAGCACTCATCAACGAAAATAAGCTCACGGAGTTCAAGTCTGATGGAATTCATCGCTTTAAAGACAGTGAACAAAAAATCATCAAACTGTGAGTTGCATTACCTATTAAACTAATTATTTTACTCGATTTAAATTATCTAAATTATTATTAAACTCTCGACAAAAAAGTCTTCAAGAAAAGCAGGAAGCAGTTCACAATGCTCTTTGCGACTCGATAAATACGCCAACAGCATTGGCAGAAATAATGGATCTTGTGAGCAAGACCAATATTTACTTATCCGCCAAACGCGGCTATACAAACGTTAATGTGATTGAAAAAATTGCAAAGTATGTAACAAAGATCTTGCGAGTATTTGGGTTATGCGAGAACACTGCTGATGAAGCTATCGGGTTTGGAGTCTCGGAGCAACAAGCCGTTGCCAATGTATGTTTTATTTTGATGATTAAACTCTGATACATATGACGACATAATAATTTATTTTTTTTTGCTTCTTTATCAGACTGAAGATATCGTCATGCCATATCTTCGAGTTCTTTCTTCATTCAGAGACAATGTGCGAGAATTAGCACGTCAAGAACGCGCTCACTTGGAATTCTTAACTCTTAGTGATAAATTGAGGGACATCGATCTAGTCGAACTGGGAGTATCGTTAGATGATCGTGAGGATGGCAAAGCATTAGTAAAACTTGTCGATAAAGAAGAGCTAATAAAAGCAAGAGAGGCAAAAGCACAAGCTCAGTTGGAAAAGGTGGCTCGTAAAGAAGCACTCGCAAAAGCTAAAGAAGAGGAAAAAAAAGCTAAATTGGAAAAAGGCAAAATTCCCGCTGAGGAGATGTTCAAATTGGCACGGGGAGAAAATGATGAGATTATATATTCTTTATTTGATGAGCAGGTAAGGCTATTATCAATTTTTTAATTGTATATTGTAGTTAACTAATTGTATTATCATCAGGGTATCCCAACACATGATGCTCAAGGACAAGAACTTGCAAAAAGTAGAGTTAAAAAGATAAAAAAAGAATGGGAAACACAGCAAAAATTGCATTCTGAATATTTGGAGTGGGTGAAACAACAAGAAAGTGGTGAAGGTGGATCTTTAACAAACTGAAGTGTTAAATATCACAAGAAACAGAGAGTAAGTCAAATCAGATCGTTATCTTGCAGGTTATCCATACAATGGTTATTAGTAATAGTACATAGTATTTATTTTTTATTATGCAAATTGTTGATTTGAAAGAGAAACTCGATCGTGAAATTTGCCAATTTTGGTAACTTGCATTTAATAAATTATTTATCGCGCGATAACTTTTTGATTACAAATAGACATTTAACAGGATCTTGGAGATTTTAATTAGTTACAAAAATGTCAATCTTATATAATAGTTCATGTGATATTTGTGAGTTTATATTAGAAGATCACATTTTATTTTTAGGCAAATTCAAAATTTATTATAATAGGCAAAGTTATCAATTTCTTAAAGAAATTGTGATTATAAATTCAAGTAATTTATTTTTTTCTTAATATTTATTTTTTACAATTTTAATTTTGATTTAAAAAAAACTCAATTATTATTATTATACAGCCAAATTTATAATTATATTTCTTTATAATCATGCCCATTTATAATTATATTTTTTATAATTATCCAATTTGACTTTTTTAATTATATTTTTTATCAAAGTAAAAATTGAAAATTTTGTTTTATATAAAGTTTTTAATTTTATTAATAAATATTTTTTATTTTTATATCAAAACAAAGATTATAATTTATATTTTAATATAGTTATTATAAAATTTTTTTATAATTAAATGTAAATCAAAAAATATTTATTAATAAAATTAAAAACTTTTTTATAAAACAAAATTTTCAATTTTTACTATGTTTTATTAATAAAATCACAATTCATTTTCAAAAACTTGATTAAAAATTGATTTTGATTAAATTTAAATCAGTTTAAATAGTTTATTATATAAAATAAACAAATTTAAATTATTAATAGTGTTTAATATATAATCAATTTTTTTATAGTTATCATTCTTGAAAAAATAAATTGAGTGATTATAAAGAAATACAGTTATAAAAACTATAATCATTTAATTAATAATCTGAAAAATCAAATTGAATAATTATAAAAATATAATTATAAATAGAAATTTTGGTTGTAATTTTGATATATCAAATTTATAATTAAATGTTTATAATTATTATATCGTTAAATTATTTTTTGCTATTAGTATGTTACCTCGGTGTTGATATTATGGTGATGCTGTTGTCGTGTATTTCAGAGTTTGTAAGGGTCGTATTATCGATTTAGTATTGGAAGATTGAATTTTTTTTCTAATACGATTTTTGACTTCGACTATCTCACAACTTGTGGTCTTAATACTTATTAGCATATAACATCATTTTAATTTCATTAATAAATAATCAGTGACTTTCACGCGTGATTCAAGTGTTTTACTTATAATGAGGCATCAGGAAGTCGTTAATCTTATTGATATCGCATATCTTGTCACTGGAATCGCCATATTTTCTTATAACGCATACATTGTGTTGAAGCAATGCTAACAACAGGGGAATATAAAGATTTATCATAACAGAAAAACCCCGTTTGCGTATGTTTCTTCCTCTAGATAACTGAAATTTGGAGCACTTGACTGGCTTCCAGAATTTAAGATTGTAAATTAGGAACAATATTCACCCAGCGTGCTTCACCACATTCACTTTCACCCTATCGGACGACAAAAGTCCCAGCCATTTTTCTTCAATACCCTATCATTCTACTATTTCGAGTGAAAATCCAATCCCGGTAGGTGGACTAATGTTTCGTCCATCTGATGCTTTTCTGAATTTGGGTTCCCGACTCCTTCTCAACAAAGAATTGTTGCATCTATCACTAATTGAACTTTCAGTTTCGCCGAAACCCTAACTTGGGCGTAGGCTAAAGCGGAGTAGTCATGTCTTTTGAAACCTTATCTAATAAAATTTCTAATGGGCGAAACTTAATTTCGCCCAATTTGATCTACAAAATGTTTCAAATTAGGGGGCAGGCTAAAGCGGAGTTTCAAATTCGAAACATTATCTTGTATTTATGTTCATAAATTTAGATTAAGTGGCAAAAGCATTCGTCACGAAGGTAAAAAAGCCAGGATACCATTACCCAGATCTGAAGCGTGAAAACAATACAATCAACGTGTTGGAAATCTAATGTTCTCAACGTTCATCATAAGGTGGACCTGCCTATTTTCGTGAACCCTGTTTCCGTGCATTAATTTATTTTTTTTTACAGCGGGGACAGCCACTCAGGTGGGATTTTTTAAGTTATAACTCGCGTTCCATACGTGAAACAAAAAAATCCTCTAGCAAATTGACCCAGCTGCAATTTGGCTAGAGAATTTTTTGTTTCACGAAAAAAATCCGTGTAATTTTTTTAAAGTTAATCGTCATATAATCAATCATATTAAAAAAGTGAAAATCGTTAATATTATAAAATTTTACTATGCTAACTACTCTTAGTGCCATAAGTAAAAATCTTCGTTAATAATTAATTAGTTAAAGGGTTATTATATCGATATTAAAGTAATCATATAATATTTTATAAGGTAAATAGCCTCATTGACTATATTACATTAAGAGTGCTAATACAAAATCGATATTATAAATTAACCAAAAAAAATAAATTTAATTTATAAAGTTAAAAACAATATACATACATGGAAATAGGACAGCATGTACTAAAATTTTATACGCAACGCAAAAAGATGCACGAAATTACTTTAACGCCTGGAAATTGTTTTCTTTTGAGAACATGAAATTTGTGATTTATGTTCTCAAAAAACAGTCTTCAATGTTCTCATAATAATTACAAAATACTAACTTGTCATTTTTGGAACACTTTTGTTATGCATTGGCAAACATTCAATTTTCATTGATATATATATTATATATTGAGAAATAAAATTTTTATTTTTTATTCGAATTGCGAGTTTTTTATGACCAGCAGATCTGATTATCGTTTTTATCAACATCATGGGACCGGGCCAGTGTATCGTACAAAGATATCGTATGAAGATATCGTATGAAGATATCGTACGAAGATATCGTACGAAGATATCGTACGAAGATATCGTACAAAGATATCGTGTGAAGATATCGTGTGAAGATATCGTATGATTTATACAATTATATAACACACACAAACTTGTGAAAACTCGCGATTTTCTTCTTCATTTACCAGTTTCAAATTTTAGGATTTTAAATCAATTAACTTTTTTTCTTCATTTACCAGTTTCAAATTTTAGAATTTTAAAGCAATTAACTCCTTAGTAAAGAGGAGAATTAACATCTAGATGTCAAAAACCTAACGCTAAACATTAAAATCCCTTTTTTTCCTTCTTTTCATCCCCTTCTCATTTGGAAAGTCAAGGGATTGTATTCCTATTAACCTTCCAAATCAGATGCTATTGATTTACACAAAAGACAATGTGTATCGCCACATGACCTTTAACGGATCATTCGGACCTAATTCCTGTAGAAAAAGCAAATTTCAGATTTTGAATTTTTTCACCAATCGAGTGAGATCCATGAGGTATACGAAAAAACTACCAAATAATGATGATACTGATCGTGTTCATTGTTATTTATATTGTTATTGTATCAGTATGTCATCAGCGCCAAATTTAAACAAGCAAAATGACATCACAGGTTATAATGATAGCTTTTTGCGGGGTAATAAAACTCATTATTATAGTAATATAGTAACATAATAATACATATTTATTTAGAAATTTTCCACATACATCTCACATATATACTCTCCATGTTCTCAAGTTTTGTTCCTGAAAACAAAATCATTATTGTCTGATAAACAGAACAAAATCATTATTGTCTGATAAACAGAACAAAATCATTATTGTCTGATAAACAAAACGAATTCACAAAAAATAATTGATCACTATTAAGAAATAAATGAATATGGTTCACAGTATCTCATCAATAAAAATCAATCCAAGTCCATTATTTCAAATACGCCTTGAGCAAGACACGCTGACCATGCGCGGGTCACCTTCAGAATCAGTCGGCTGCGTACTAAGAGGTCAACTAGTTCTTGCACTAACCGAACCCATAAAGATTCGTGAGATTCGGATGATTTTTCGAGGAAAATCCAAAGTCAATTGGACTGATGGTAATTATTGTTTTTATGTTATCTAAAGTTAATGTATGAATCCAAATTATATTTATTTGATGATATGCATTTTTCCCGATTAGGCGTTGGTGCGGGACAAACTTATCACGCTGAAGAACGTATATTCTATCAACACGAATGGACTTTTCTGCCAGCAAAAAAGAATTATCACGTTCTAATTCCAAAAAATTATTACTGGGATTTCGAACTAATTTTACCGGGTGCTTTACCAGAAACTGTGGAAGGATGTGAACACGGATACGTGCACTACAAACTGAAAGCTGTTGCAGAACGACATAAATTCGCGCTTAATCTCAACACACAACGTGTTCTACGTGTCTTACGATGCCCACTACCTGCCTCGCTTGATTGTACCCAGAGTCTTGTGATTGCAAACACATGGAACGATAAAGTCGAATACGAGATTGTGGTCGCGTCACGCGCATATACGCTCGGCGAAAAAATTCCAATTGATATAACACTGAAACCATTACAAAAACATTTGGTGGTGAAAAGATTCATGTGTTCACTCAAAGAGTATGTCACGTATCACATTGGTCAGCACACGAAGAAATCAAGTCGAGTAGTTAGAATGGGACGTGATGAGGAATTCCCGAACGAGTGTAGTGATTCGTGGACCACCACTGAATTATTACCAATTCCCGCGTCGAGTCCCTTATGTCAATACGATACGCAGAATGAAATTATTCGCGTGAAGCATAAACTGAAATTCACATTACTATTTATGAGCAAAGACACGGAGCTTCTTTCGGAATTAAGCGTGTCGATGAACATTATTATAACACCCGTTTCGATAAATGGCGATGCAATGATTTTGCCTGCTTATGATGATCATTATCTTGACACAGAAATGCGTGATTGCCATCCTTCTATAATACCACCATCACACTCGCCATCATTTGGACCCTCCGAGTTAGCAGCGGGTCATAAATTTCCAGAGTTTGATGACTTGGAACTTATGAAACTACCGACTTATCGAAGTATCACTGCTTTAATACCTGCCCCCGTTCATGATTCTCTACCCCCAACATATGATGCTTGTTATTAATATGATAACAGCTTTATTATAATGATTACAATAATAAGTTAATTGATCTATACATGCATACGTATATATAATTAGATGTATATTTTTTAGAAATATGTAAATTTGAAAAATCTTCAAACATAATCCTTTTGTATATATATCACCTATTTTTATTTTAATGTTAAGCTATCAAAAACGTGAATATTCTTGTCTAAACTATTGCAATAAATTAAATCATATAAAAAGAACATGCCTTTCGGGATAAGTCAGCTGCGTTTGAATATCCGATGAACGAGAACAGCCGATCCTCTTTGTATAATCCAATCTTTACAAGCTTGATAATATAAGTTTTATTGCATGGTTTTGAAATGATAAAAATTATTATCCAAAAAGTCCTTGCAGATTTTATATACAGGTCTATAGTGCATAGTGTAATACAAATAAAAGTTCTTTTGATTAATCAACAATAAACCTCAATATTCATAAACCTCAATATTTACCTATGGCGCTATCTAGATTTTGTCATTCGAATAATAATCAAATAATTATTGAACATTGGACCACCATTCTGGTAATCCAAGACCGTCTTCTTGTATTGAGCCAATTATCGAGTATGGCGGAGTGCGCGACGAATTTCCACCAATAATAATCGATGGATTTGTGTCGGTTATCGGTCCACCACTACCAGCTCCAGTCACTGCTCTAGCCGCACCCGGGGGCTGCTTTGGCGCGATATCTGTAAATGTCTCACCAACAACACGAAATTTTATCACGTCTTGATTGTCTAACCAGTATTCGTGGCCGTGTCCTTTCCATAAGTATGCTTGTTCCGAAGGCTGACTTTTTAAATATCAATATCAATATCAATATTATTGAATAAATCATAAATCATGTTTTTAGCACTTACAAGAACGTGGATTCTCTTAAAAGCGCTCGTGGTATTTTAATATCATCGAAAAATCCCATTGTAACTTTGATTACAAGTTCATTGATTAGAAAACAACACCTTATCAAATTAATATGTAAAATTTAAAATACCTTTTATTTCAGTTGGTAGACAGCATTTGATTTTTCCGACGAGTACTTCGCCAATAAAAGGGCGAAACATGATCAATCGAAATTCTACTATTTGAAAAATCAATTTGATTGATCGATGCTCGAATGCTCAAATAATCAAATAATTTAATAGCTGACTATAGAAACATACCCTTGACAAAGCTAGCTCCGTTGCCAATCCCGGGATGCACAAATTCCTCGCCTGCTTCGAGAATATCGTGTAGACATATGCAAAGGCCTATATCCTGCACAACCTTAAATAATAACGCGATGATTCCACATTACTAAAGAATCTATTTTTTCATTTTTATTTTACAATGTATGCTCACCTTATTAGCATATTTTTGGTTTAGTTCGTCAGTAATAGCTTCGTATTTATTCTTACGGAAATTCTGAGGCTCAATCTTTACGGTATCTTTGAACACGCTTAATATGAACATCGCTTCAAGTACTGAATATAGAAAGTTTAACGAAAATCCCATGTTGTACATTCTATGTAAAAATAGAATATATACACACTATTTTATTTATTTACAAACCAAAAATAAGTTCACATATATGTAATATAATATATAACATATAAAATAAATATATAAAAAAGATTATATTAAAGAATGAATAAACTAATTTTATAAACTATCTATTGACATGCTTCTAAATCGATGACGTTCTTCGATTCCATTAGAATTATTTTTATTATTATAACTGGTAATAGACATCGAAGTGCTACGCTTCTTTCGCCGCTTTCCTTCAAGTATAGCATTTTTTTCGTTCTGAAGATGCATCGATAGGCCGACGCTTACACCCCAAAAAATTTCATTGATCAGGGTTGATGGGCGTCTTATTTGAAGACTACTATTATTGCTATCATTATCATGTGAATTGTTTTGATTGTCCGTAGGAGATGATAATGAAAAAGGTATTGATGAACATAACGATGAGTATGATGATAATGAAGAGGAGGAGGAGGATGATGATGATGATGATGAATGATCAGAAGATGAGGAACCACGACGTGACAATGAAACTTTTTCATCACAATAAGATACAATAGTTTCTGAATTATCCATTATATTGTTATTATTAATCTCTTCCTCTGATTCTTCGGAATTATGAAAATAAGGAACATCAAAGTGTTTTGCGCTTGTCTTGCTAAGCGAGCTTTTCAAGTATTTACCAGCAGCTCGTATAATTGGATCACTACGATTCTTCATATCTCTTTCATCTGCGCTACTGTCTCCACTATCTGCCTCAATGATTACTTCTTCACCTTCTCGACCACCATCTGAAACAGCACGCATAGCCTTTCTTCGTTTTCGTCTTGAATTTTCTATCGGTTTCAGTGACAATGAACTGGCATCTGTTTCAGGGGACTTTCCATTTCTTTCACTTTTGAATAAAACGTCCATTACTATATCAATAACTAGAATGACCGAAGTGATGGATGCAACTACCCATGGATTAAGAGAAAAATTCCGAGAGTCGACTGGTCGAGTGGACAATCTCAGGGACGGGAAAGAAAGGCTACGTTTATGTGATCGATTAGTAGGTGATGGCGATGAAATTTTCACAACAGTCGAGTTTGCCTTTAGTCGGAAGGTACCGTCTCGCCAGTCCACGGTGTTACCAATCACTGAGTAAACATAGAGTGGTAGAGCAGTGATTTCACGTAATGCCCAAGCCATAATAAACCCTCTCAAGTTTTCCACTTCGATTTTTTTCCCACTAAGAGCTTGAAATAAAGACAAATCGAGCATGAACCAAGTTATTATATGGAAAGCGAAGAAATTGAGAGGATGTATTTGCCAGAGAAGACTGAATCCGTACGATGCGAATAAGCCACACAACATTGATTCAGTTAAAGGTTCAACGACTGTAGCTGCTGTCACTGTATACTTTCGAATACGAGTCCATCGTGAACGTCGCAAAAAATAATCTGCAGTTTCCATAGATCCAAGCGGTTGATAAGCAAGATCATTAGTCATCTCATGTTTGAATCCTTTTCGCCATAATGCACTTGCAAGTATATTATCCTCAGCCATGTATTGACCGAATTGAGCCAGCCCACCAATCGATTCAACATCACTCTTTCGATATAAGTTAGATTTTCCGACAACGCAGCTGTCCGGTCCAAAAAAATTGATAGCAAGATACATTTTCGCGTGCACTGTATCCAAAAACATCATCTCCAATTCTGAGCCAAAAGTGGCAGGACGCACAGCAAATGGAAGGTGATGAACTAATCCAACACCAGGAAGTAACAACTTTTCCACAGAACGAGCAAGACAGCCAGGTTCGACGTAGATATTTGAATCGAGTATCCACATTATGTCATTTTTCATTGACTCGTATGCAGTAATCATGTTGTTAATCTTTGGATTGACGCCTACAGCACGTTCAGCTAATTTATCAAATGAAAAATTCGATTAGTCAGTTATAGTTAGCAAAATTACAAGAGAAGCTTTTAATTATTAGCAAAAACAAGTACCTATTATTAATTTAGCATCAACTCTTGGATAGCGTTTCATTAATTCTTTTACAACCTTAACCGCAGGATCATTTTCACTTGCCACCGAGAATAAAATCTCGAAAACAGGATAATCCTGGCGAAAAGACGACGCCAAATTGTCGTAGAGATTACAGTCGACACCTTTTAGTGGTCGTATGATCGTTACGCCAGGAGCATTTTTGGCAGTGTATTTTGACGAAACAGATTTTTGAGGAGCACCATAACGTTTTCGTCTAATCAATAAAATATCAAATTAATACAAGTGGACAATTACCACATAAAAGTAAACAAATAGATACTCACGCCACCAAAAAGCCAGCAATCGAAAAGCCCATCATAACCATCCAACAAAAAATAGAAAAAATCAGAAAGAACGCTTCCACGTTTGAAAGTGATTCCCAGACCGAAACATGGTGGTGCATTAACTTTTTGTGTTGAGTCGTTGCCGGGTACATTATGTATTGTCTAAAGATTTCAATAAGCTCCGTAAAGTGTTGCTGTGACATTTGCCGAGGGTTTTCGATATTATTATTCATGATGGTGCTTTTTTGGTATTGTATATTCGTCGAGCAAACTTCGTATATTATATTGGGAAAAATCGTCGTCGTTCGACCGACAGACGAAGTTTTTTTTTAATAATTAATAAAGTAATATGAAAAGGGTGTGATTTCGGAAAGCATACAGTTATATAATCACATACAGTTCTATCTAACTCGAAAAAAAGAAACCGAATTAACCTTCGATAGATTACTATCTAACTCAAAGAAAAGAGAGAACTGACGAAACCGAATTAACCTTCGATAGATTAAGTACGAAAAAAAGCTGTCACACAAAAAAAAAGGTAAACAGAAAAAGAAATATTGAAAGAATCAGATAGAATAATAGAAATAGGTATTATGCAAATAATCAATAACAATTTTCAATGCATGTAGTTCATCTTGAGCCATACTAGGATGCACACATTTAATCATTTATTTTATTCCCGTCCTACACAAAAAGACTGATTATTAATCGCGTGTGATAGGAATTTCAGCGTATCAGGTAAGAATGAGAACAAGTATCCTAGAGTCCGGTTTTCGGGATTTTAATATTCCTTATTGCGCGATTTTGTATTATCATTTGCCGTCATTCAGATTCTGGTCATGTTGATATTATTATTTGGCCGAATAGAGAAACAACACATGAAAAAATAAAAAGATCGGAAAAATTTTTCCAAGATGTACAATGATGTTTTAATTTTAAAAAAGCTTCTTTTTCCTATTTCGAGATTATTCTTTCATGACGTGTAATTAATGAATATACTGCGTCATTGATTGGTCATACAAACATTTAAATATTTAGTAATTAAACGTTTTTTGAGGTAAATATGCTATAATCGAGATTTATTGGCGTTTCCATATCCGATATTCATTTCTAGGTTTAATATTGTCTTTTTCTTAAAATCAAAATAAAATCGATGTCTTGCATTAGGATTTGTCTTCCTGACGTGATCAGGCGTAGTAGAGTGCTGAAAATCGCCGGGTAAAACGAAATAACGTCGGTTAGTTTTGTCGTCTTTCATGAATTCTGGCATCATTGGTACTACAATCCTCTTCTTACTATTCAGCATCACACGTAACTGAAATAACTTTTTGTATTCGAACAGTTCGGTTAATGTGTACCACTGGGGCGGGAAAAGATTAATCTCAGATTTACGGAATGCAGTCAATGCTTCCTCGGGTGTAAACCAATTTAATTGAGTTGTTTCTTCACCATCAGCTACAATGTCAGTATAGGATACATCATCATAAGGTATAATAGTTAGATAGAAATTGACATTGTAACGTTTGAGCTCTGTTCTTGGTGTGATCCAATTGTAAAACAGATCAAGTTCTTCAATTGCAGGTTTTAGTTTAAATTTTTTGCATAGTGAAATAAATTCGTTGGCGTCATTGTGTATCTTGTCGCGCCATCGTTTTGCTTCTGTAAGGTCAAATTTGACATTGGGTTTCGTGAGCAGAATTCCGCATTCTTCAAATGTTTCTCGTATCGCACAGATTTTGGAGGTTGTTAAAGAAGTTGTTGATGATTGGTCACGCTCCATTATTTTTGTGAATTCGAATTCTGGAGTTAAATTAGCGCTAGACCATTCTTTGGACGAATCGGATGGATCTACATTTCCACCTGGAAATACATGTGCATTGACAAATGATCCTTTAGCATTTCTTTTCATCATTAATACTTTATAATTGAATTTATCGTTATATTCTATTTCATCGTCAATTTTTTTTATTGGTGCTACTATGACGATAGTTGCAGCAGGTCGTAAAATATCCGAACCATTAGAAGAATACATTCGCTGCTTTGTTTTCTTTTTTTTTGAGAAATTACGACAAAGAACAACAATTTGTCTTTGGATCATTGGATCCACAATTTTTGATAATTCGATGATTTCATCACACTCTAAATTGGGTTTGGTATCACTAACACTAAGATTAATTTGGCCGACCAAAAACTTCTAATTGAATTTTCCCACGATCTTCGTCAAAATGAACTTTGGACGTTCTCTCCTGTCTCTTCGAAAGTCTTTTTTTTCTCCGCGACTCCTTAAGGCAACTAATTACTGTAATCCTCGTAATAACAACAAGGTATTAAATTTATTGTTTCTGAATAAATTAAAGGAAGTATTTAGCAAACAACACTTTCATATTGCTGAGTCTTTGCTTGTTCATGTATCACCAATACAGTATTTCCATGTGTCAATCTGTAACCACCAAGAGGAAATCAGCACACCTCCTCCACCAGAAGGCTTCATGCCGGGTGTTGCTAACTCAAAGCTGATAAAGCACACTCACGAAGAGGCTATAAAGAATCCCGAGTTAGTAAAAGCTGGCATGTCTCTGGGTATTCTTTACACTTTGTGTGTGCCTGTTGGTAACGCCATCCTCGATTAATGAGTTTTTTTTATTGAATCTAATTTTGGAAATAGGTGAAACGAAAAAGATGAATTTATTTCAATCGGTTAATGATGCCATGAGCATTGCATTGACTACTGACGACAAAGCAAGTAAGAATAAAAATATTCGATGAGTTCGAGCGTTCAACTTGTTAAATGTCTGCATTTAAATATGAATTTATATCATCTTAGTAATATTTGGAGAGGATGTCGCGTTTGGTGGAGTATTTCGATGTACACTGGGCTTAGTTGAAATGTTTGGTATTTTAGTAATTAGTTGATAAACAAAAAATTACATATTTCTCAGATATTGATTGCTTATTCATACTATCAGGACAAGACCGAGTATTTAACACGCCGTTGACAGAGCAAGGTATTGTCGGCTTCGGTATAGGCGTCGCCTCAGTGGGACATACCGCTATAGCTGAAATACAATTCGCAGATTATATCTTTCCTGCATTTGACCAAGTTCGTAATCAGAAAATTTTACTTGATTTAGTTCTTCACAATGACTTCAGTTATCAATACTTTTGTGTTCCGATTATTTACCAATAGCTTGTTAACGAAGCAGCTAAATACAGGTATCGCTCAGGCGGGGAATTTAATGCCGGCGGATTGACAGTCAGAGCACCTTGTTCGGCCGTCGGTCATGGTGCACATTATCATTCACAGTCGCCTGAAGCTTTCTTTGCTCATTCTCCGGGTCTGAAGGTAGGCTTTAAAATATCAGCATTGATTTTCATTATTTGATTAATGTATCATTTAAATGATTCTTTAAAGGTTGTCATACCTCGAAGTCCGATTCAAGCAAAAGGGCTCTTATTAGCCTCGATTCGAGATTGTAATCCTGTTATTTTCTTTGAACCAAAAATTTTATATCGTGCAGCAGGTGAGCAGTAAATGAAGCTCAAACTGAAAATTCCGAATATAAATAAATATATTCTCAAAACCAGTCGAGCGGGTACCAATCGGTGATTACGAGCTCCCAATAGGAAAAGCCGAAATTCTCAAACCGGGAAAAGATGTCACAGTAGTTGGCTACGGGTCACAAATCTACATTCTCGAAAATGCGATTCAAATGGCCGAGAAAAAAATTCCTGGACTATCCTGTGAACTTATCGATTTGAGGACCATATTACCGTGGGATGAAGATCTGGTGGCGAAATCCGTGAATAAGACCGGCCGACTCGTTATTGCACATGAAGCACCGAAAACGTCGGGGTTTGGTGCTGAAATTGCAGCTACTATCATGGAAAAATGTTTTCTTCGGTTGGAGTCGCCTATACAGAGAGTTTGTGGTTGGGAGTATGTATTTCTTTGATTGATTAATTGACTTTTATTATTATTGATTGTGATTTTTTATAATTATCTAATCATCTATTTTTTTTTATAAAGCACACCATTTCCATTAGTCTTTGAACCATTTTATACACCTGATATGATACGATGTTACGACGCGATACTTAAAGTAGTCAAGTATTAGAATTTAGGTGTCGTAATGTGGGTTGTATCACTTATTTAACTACTTTAACTATTTCGTTTTGCGAAGATTTTGTCATGATAAACTATAGATTTATTAAATAGAATAACTTATAAAGGCAGAATTTATAGATTACAAAAGCTACCCACAACGATCGCCGTTAATTTTATATTTATTATTGCTATGTTCAGAAATGCAAATCTTTATACTGATAAATGGCAGATTTGAAAGTTTGATTTTTTCCATTGATCAAACAACTTAGTCCCTCTGAGTCAAATACAAATTATATTTTTGCCATAAATATTTTCATGATTTTCTAGGCAAATAAAGCCACATATAATCTGCTAGTAAAAACTCAAAATGTGAAGCCTTATAAATTGTAATGTTCCTGTAAATTGAACTAAATTAAACTTTGACTTGAATTCAAAGTTCTGAACTCAAACTGAATTGTTATATATAAAGTTTGAGTTCAGTTTGAGATTAGTATATATATAAATCATATACTAATTTGTAGCTCTAAATTTATTTATAAATATAATTTATAATATTTATTAAGAATTAAAAGTTTATTTCAAGATAATCAAAATATTTTATTTTTATATTATAAATTATAAAATTTAATTTAAATTAAATTAAATAAAAATATTATTAGAATTAAAATTAAATTTTGAATTAATATTAAGAAATGAATTAATATTGAAAGATAAATTAATGTTAACTAAAAAGTAAATATATAAAATTATAATTTAAAACAAGTTATTAAAATAATAATATATATTAAATAATATTTTAAAAAATAAAAAAAAGAGTTTTCAAAATTTTATTTTTTATCAATATTATATAATATATAATAATATAATATTTTATTTGAAAATAAGAATAAAAATAGAATTATAATTAATTATAACTTAGTTATAATTTTTTAATTAATTATTATAATTAATTATAATTAAATTATAATTTTTTGATTGACTATTACAAGTTACAATTATTAAAATAAAGATAAATATTAAATAATAAATATTAGAATTCTATTTAAAATATAACTTTTAATATAGTGAAAAATTAATTAAATTCTTGATATAGTAAAGTTAAGTTCAAAAATTATATATATTAAATTTTTTCAATATAGTAAATTTATTAATAAACTCTTAATATAGTAAAATTTTTATTAATAATTCAAATATCTTTATTATAATAAAATTTAATTACACATATTTATTATATATTATATAATAATAATATTAAATAATATTATTATTTATATTAATTATTAGTTATAATTACTATTATATTTAATTAATTTAATTATTTTTTTATTATTATTATTATATTATATTATATTCCTATTATATTATATTATATTATATTATATTATATTATATTATATTATATTATATTATATTATATTTTTATTAATAACTATATTAAAAAAGATTTAATTATAATACAAATTTTTAATTTATTTGAAAAAATATAATAATATATTTTTAAATTTATTTTTAAGATATATTAGATCAAAACTTTATACAAAATATTTTAATATATATTTTTTATTATAATTAATTATATATATATGTATATTTTAGTTATTTCTTAAATTATTAAGCTTATTATTATAATTATATTATAAAAATATTAATTTTATAATTTGTGATATTTTATAAAATTATATAAATTATGTAAAGAACTTGAAATATTTTCTAATTATTTTTATTTCTTTATTTTGTATCATTTTATTTTTATACTTTTATATTATAAACTTATTTTGCTATTATTTATTTATTTACTTACTTTTATATTTTTATACTTTTATATTTTCTATTTATTTATTTCGAATAAATATATTTTAGTTAATCATAACTTTTTGAAACATATATTTATTTATCTGTTTTTTCTCTATTTTTCTATTTTTCATATTTAATAAATTGGAATTATATTTTTAACTAGTATAATTATCTTTTATATTTTTAATATTATATTTGTATTTACAAAAAATATATAAATACAAGTTATAATTGAGTCTTGACTTAATATATAGAAACTTGAAAACAAATAATATAATAAAACAAATACTTTTTAATATTTAAATAATTAGTCTTTTTCTTTTAATTATATATTTTAAACTTGTGAACAAGTAACTTTAAATTATATTGAGCTAATCAAAATATTATTATTGAATTATTAAATTAATATTTTGTTATAAACTAATTTTTTAATATTTTTGTTATATTAAATTATTTGAAATTTTTCAATTAAAGGTATTATAATTTCTTTTTTATGAAAAAATAAAGTGAAAAAATCTTTATTATTTTTATTATTTGTTTAATTCAAAATATATTTATATTAATATAGAGAATTAATACTCTAATAATATTTTGATTAATATATATTATTTAATTAATATAATTAATTAGAATATTATATATATAGTTAAAATCCTATTAGCTTGTTTTCTTTATATTTTATTTTTCGTTCAAACTATAATAATTTTAGTAAAAGTTGATATAAGACTTAAATATTTTTTTATTATTTTTATATTTGTTTAATTTTTTCTTTTAATTTCTATTTATATTTATTAATTAATTTTATAATTAGTAAAAAATATATCTTTTCTCTTTAAGCTAAAATAAAAATATAATGTATTTTTAATTAATATTATTACTATTAGTAATTTTTGTAAATAAAGATTTTTATTATATAGTAAATAATGATTATAATTATGTAAAAAAATGTGAAGAAGTAAGTAAAATATAAAATAATCTTATAATAGTATATTAACTAAGTGTTAAAAGATTCACAAAGAATTTAACAAGTTCATTAAGAACTTAAAAAAATATAAGTTTACAAAAAACAGAATAAGTTTATTAAAAACTCAAAGTATTATTAAAGAATTTATAAAGAATAAAATACTAAATTCTTTATTATTTAATTATTACTTTATCAAGAAGTATTTTAGATTTATTAAAATTATTTATTATTTAGTTTTTTTTTAATTTAGAACTAATCTATTTTATTTAAAATAATACTTAATTTATTTTATAAATTATTTTGTGATACTTGTCTCAATATTTCATATTTTTGCTTAAATATAATTAATTACTATTAAGTTAATTTAATTTTTAAAAATCAATTAACATGTGTCTTTTTATACTAATAATAATAATATGAAAATAATATGAATTAAAATTAAATATAAATACTATGAAATATAAGTGAAATAAAATAAAATAAAATAGTATGAAATATAATTAAAATATAATAAAATAGTATAAAATATAATTAAAATAAAATAAAAGCATATGAAATATAAAATAAATAATATGAAATAAAAAAAATTGTAATTGATAAATCATATATATACTAGTTATCTAATAGAAATACATATATTTTAAATAATATGATATATTTTATATATCAAGTACTAAAATATCACATAATTTAAAATTTCTAATTTTTATTTATAAATTGCTCAAGATATTTATTTGATTTATTTTGTAATTAATTTTATAAAAATTTTTTAAAATTTATAAATCTGAAAAAAAAATTTTTTTGTTACTAACTAAAAATAAAATTTTCTTAATAAAATTATAAAAATAATAATAATAATAAATATTATTTTTATAATAAAATTTATAATTTGTATTATAATTATAAAGAAATAAGCTAGAAATTAATAAAATTATCAAAAATTAAAGATTAAATATTTTAATTTTTGGTAAAAATAAATTAAATATAAATAATTATTATATAAATCAAATACTTATATTTATTTGATTTGAATTCATTTTTTTAATAAAGTATATAATATTTAAAGTATATAATAAAATCAAATTTCTTTATTGTTATATCTTTTATAGTTATATTATATAAAAACTTTATTACAATTACTCTTTCAAGAACCAGCTATATATAATAAACACATTTTACTATATAATTATAGCAAGAGTTAATTATACTTTGGTAGACCAATAATATATAAATTTAATAATTTCATTGACATTTGTATTTTATTGATACTGTTATTATTTGGATGTTTTATAAACTTCATGTTTTTCATGTGGTTCAAGTCAGATGAAAAAGATAATAAAATTACTTGTGAATTAAGCAAGATCTTACCTGGGGTCGGGGAGGCACCTCTACCAAAATAATATGCTTTTGCGGGTGCTTTATGGTAATAATAAAAAATCTTTCGCCTCCTTCATTAATATCAACAATATGACTACTGTCGACTACATTAAGAATGAGTTGAGCGACGCGAAGAAAGAATATCATAAATGCGTTGAGAAGCTGGAGAGGCTGGATGAGTGAGATACTGAGGGTGAAAGAAAAACCTAGAAAAGCGAGAAGATAAGTTGGAAGAGGAAAGAGCTTTTTTTGAGAGACAAGATAGACAAATTTCAGGACGCGCTGATGAACACCTCAGCAGGTAACATTTTATGACTCAGGCGTTGGGTATTATAGAATAGAGCGTAAAAATTACTTCTATCCATCCGTTCCATTTCGCTTAATGTTTTTTTACTTATAACTGTTGGTGCTTTCAAATCTATTCGTTATCATCTTTATTTGACTAACAATAACGACGCTCGGTTATATTGCATTAGTGTCAGGAGAATTATCCCAACCATCATTTGAAAATTAACCTGTTCTGATGGATTGAAGGAAGCCAAGATGGTGGTTCGAGAAGGAGTTTACTTGCTTGGTGATGCATCGCTTGGATCTAACATTTTTGTGCGTCAATGTTATCGTGACTTTGCCAAGGTGATTTTCGCGGATGATAATGTTCGTAGCTGGTGTATCGCGGGTAACCCGGGAGTCGGGAAAAGCTTACACGCTACAACAAACTGTGATCTTGCAACAATATCAGTTGGCTCCTATCTTATTCTCCGATGGAAACGTGTCAATCTTTTCACATTAAGAGTCTATAACCCGCCTTGACAACCCGGATGTCTGGTGGGATGCCGTATATAGGCAAATTATAAAGAGTTTATTAAACATACTTCTACAAGCAAATGTTACATGCCGACAAGTATGCTTTCTTCATCTTGGTGAGAAAGAGGTGAAAGAGCTGTATCTGGGGTGGTATTCCACGTTTCGTTTTAGAACACGGAAAAGCAGAATGAATTAGACCTGGCAATTCACTTGTGCGACCCAAATATTTTCAGATGTAGACGAGGTTTATTCGTCAGAAGATACAAACCATAAATTGGTGCACAAAAGTTCCCGCGCTGCCAGAGGAAATTGAGCAGGAAAAATATGCTGAAGATGATGAAAGCAAGGAAGACAGAGGTGAGATGAGGTTTGAGGTTCTGCCTGCGCCATACACATCCATGAGATTCACTTCCGATTACGTTGCGTAGAAGATACTTCAAAATTTAGAAACATATTTTCGTGAGGATTTACGTCGTTTCCTCACTGTCAACGAAGGTGAAGGCAGTTTAAGCACTCTTCGCGGTCATATATTTGAAACTATTGCTCATGCGAATGGAGGTACATTTCAAGTGTGGCCTCTGAATGAAATTCTGAAGATGAACAGTTCTTTAATTGCGGCTCCGACTTTGGTATTTTCAGATAATACTCAAATTCAAGCTGGGAAATATTGTCGTCCCCAACAAAAGCAATATGAATCGATTGATTCGTTAATTTCCCCTGATACCCTATTTCAGGTTACCGTTGGGAAAAGACATGGAATCAGGATGGGCGGGTTGGAGAAAATCGTTGATATATTAGGTGGCAAACGATCAAATTCGTCTCTATTTTGTCATTCCCCTGGACAGTTTTATTCAATTTAAATGCCAACCGTATCTCAGAGCAGATGGCCATGTAGCCAAACGAGTGCAGCCTTGGATAAAACATCGGGTGAAGCAATACTCGCTCAAAGTCGATTTGAATCTTGAGAAGGTTCTACTTAGTGCTCAATAGGTTCATTTATTGTAAGTTTTTTGACGATAATAATGTAGAAAACAAATCATGAGCAAAAGCGCGAATAATTTTGCATTTATTTCGTTCTGAGGGCAGAAAAGCTTTCTAATTTTTACATAATTCTTTGGAAGTTTGTAAAGAATTTCTGCGTATGAAAAATAAAATCAAAAAAGCCATTTTTGGCCGTTGTTTGCAATACCGATACACATTTTTATTTAGTCGGAAAAAATTACTGCGTAGCTTTTTATTGCATTTTCGAATAGGAGATATCACTTTTATCTTTAGTTACATGTTTGAGGTGTAGCTTATCTTCTGGATGAATCAGAATCGGATGTACAGTACCTGAATCGGAGTCGTTGTAAAATTCATAAATATTATTTTTAGTAACGACTCTTCCCCTTTATTATCAGCAAGCTTTTTGATATGCAGTGTTGTTCTTACCCAGAAATCTTCTGCGTCGGTTACAATTTCTGGCCTATAAGTTTGAAGTTTATCGTTATCACAATTTCGGCCAGTAAACCAATCATTACCAAGTTAGGTAACGGGTTAATATTTTTTCAACTAACGCTTGGATTTTTTATCATTATTTTTTATGTTAGAGGTAGAAGTAAGTGGAATTATGGCCCATCCAAGTGGGTGTGTAGTCATCTCTTTGAAGAGTTTTCTATTTTTATCTTCGGTGCTTATTCGCCTAGAAATTTTTCCTACTTTTTTGAGAATTTTATCAGTACACATAGCAGGTCCTAAAAATCCTGGTTCGAGACAGCAATTTACTTTTTGGTTTAGCTATTTTCGCTTTCATAATTCGATGTAAAATATACTTTTGATATATATCTTATCCGAAATAAAGTTATTCGAATTTTTATATAAGAAAATTATTTCACTGCGCACATGTACCGTTTCTGATCACTGCTCTGAACTATCATGCTGGATCGAAAGGACATTTATTTTGAATTGCTTTAATAAACATCCTTTTAAACTCTTCGACTCTTTCCATGAATCTATAACAGCCTTCAAAGCTAGGTCGAGTTTATTATTTGAATCAGAACTGGATGAACTGGACTCTGAACCAGAATCAGATGATTCAGATGTACTGGATTCAGAGTTATCATATATACAGTCAACCCTCTTTATTATGACACCCTTCGGTTCCTTAAATAATTTTTGTTCTTATTGTCATAATAATGAGGTTTATGTGTTTTATATTATGACATTATAAGAAATTCAAAAAAATTTTTGTCATTATAATGAGAATTTATTATTTGGTCATAATAATGAGGTTTGACTGTAGTAATCTTTATTTTGAGGAAATCTTTTTTACGTAATTTGTGTTTCGTTGGGTTTGAAACATCATATGAGAGGGCAATGCTTCCTGACCCCTATCGAATATTACGTGGGACGAACTCAGTAGTAAAATCCGTATCAAACTTAGAATTCTTAGATTGATAATTAACCTCCTCTTTAAAGTTAATGCGTTCTAATTTTATGAATCATTATATAAGCGATATTCTAAGACCTTTGAGTTCTTGTCTGACATCTTGATCAAATATTACTCTTGATATAATATGTCGACAAAATAACTAACCTCTCAATAAATAATTGCCTTAACCTGCAAGACTTTCCAATGCATCACTAACTCATCTAAAGAAAGATCTAATCCACATCTTTGAGCTTCCAACTGATTCTTGGGAGATAATTCACAAATAAAATGATTTTCACCAGATCTGGCAGTTGCATTATACTTTACTAGTTTTGAATAGAAGTTTGATACTGATTCATTGTCTTGTTTCAAAAAGTCCAAATCGAAACTTTTGCATATCTATAAAAGATATAGAGATTCTATTCAAATACTTTATCAACTCATTCAGAGATTTCTTAACTCTAAATCTAATAGCTTTCTTGTAATCATATAATATTAAATCACTAATAAATTTTATTTTAAGATCTTTATTCTCCAGGTTTACATTCAATACCAAAGTATAGCTTTATTATTTTAAAATAATTATTCACAGATCGATTATTTTGTATTGGTACTGGAATTTTTTTATTAGTCATGTTTTTCTAATTTTATATTTGGTAATTTTGGTATTAATTTGATTATTTAATTAATTAATATGGTTATCCAATTAATAATTAAAACATAATAATTTGATGAGAAAAAAAGATTATATTTAATTTTATTAAATACAGTGGCAATCAGAAATAATGCAACGACGTCAAAATTTACTAATTAAACATAGTAAAATGCGTATTTTTCTCT